CTTCCCCGTACTTTGCCTTCACACGCTTATCAGTGGCCACATCTAAAAAAACTGAACTGTACATGGGTTTCCTGTGGAGTTGATATAAACGGTTAAGTCCTTGTTTCACAGAGCCCCAAAGTTCATCAACGTGTTCACAAAAACCCACCGAACGTCACATTGAATCCTTTCCATTCATGCTTTGTATTTCAAAGGATGACTGTAATTCTCGGTCATAATATTGAGTAAAGTGACAGAATTTTCTTGTTTTCTTCTATATTTACGATCAAATAATCGGGCACTTTCTTAAAACATAAATCGACCTCTTCTTTCTACATCCTTATTCATCACTTCGATTAATTTTCCCATTTAACTCACGTAACTCATATAGTTGTGAAAGCGTCGTTAAATATACGTATAAAATATAAAGTGTGCTCTGTTAACGAAATACCAAGTTACTTGGTATTAATTCGAAGTAAATGTCAAAGTACAATAGGATTAGGGAGTTCAAGTAAACATTTCAGAAATTTTCAAGTGCTACATTAAATGCAGATGAGTGATCAGCTTTCGACTCCGGCCATTTTATCCCCACATACATTTTAGGACACGTAAACCATAACCTAATTTGGACGCACTGGTAAACAAAAATCACTGCCTTGTCTCACCTGAGACTGAACCCCACTTATATAGCTCATAGTCAGTGACCTTACTGCTGTAGTTAAAACATATTTGAAATAGCCTATATTAAAATTTGTTCACAAATAGGCCTACAAATGTTTGAAGATTATATCAGTAATTTTACCACGTTGAAAACAAAGATAAATAAATTCTAAATGTAGAAGACAGAGATGGATCTCAGCTCAGTATTCTTTCTGGAGAGTAAAAATTCTCAACAATTTTTCTATCATCAGAGCACAACAATTGCTTTATCACGTTTATTTTTTAGCTTTATTAAACGTTTAAACAAGGAATTAAACTTGATACATATAGAAATTAGCTTTGAAACTGGATATAACTTCTTTGTTTTTGCCAACCCTTTACTTTGCTAATCTAGATGGCAGCATATGCAATTATGTATGTCTCGGGTAACCTAGAGGCACCAGTGTTTGTTTATTTTGTACTCACCAACAAAATAAATACTAAGTGATGTGTTATTTTTTACAGAGTCAAACAAAAACCAGTTATTGTACAATAAATACAAGTATATACAAAAAAGTTTTTGTTATTATTTATGAACTTTTATTGTACATTACATTGTACAAAGACTATTTTATCCTCATCTATGTAGTTTATAATACCCTTAGAATAATTATTAATATTTGTTGTTGTGAATTATATATTATGTTTTATTATATTTGTTGCATCTAGATTTGGGGGGAACTTGTTAGCCATAAACCATTTACTCATATGAAAAAGAGAACTGTGTTTGAAATTGTACAGACATCGACAGAATTTTACTACAAATTATTATTACACTTGAGTCATCAGTGAATATATGGGCCCTGATAAGGTATTTATTGTTTGTTAAAGGTTAGTTATATTTTAAGAAAAACAAAATGTCCTATATTTAATCTTTGGGGAACTTACATCAGGCTAATACAAATTTGACTAAGTCTGTAATAAATTATATTAAGTTCAGTAAAATAAAGAAAGAACACAGATTGAGGATGTTTGAAAATAGTTTGCATGCGAGAATATATGGACCTGAGAGGGATGAAGAGAGAGGATTGAGAAGGTCGCATAATGAGGAGCTCTGTAATATGAATTCTTCACCAATTTTTGTTGGGATGATAAAATCATAAAGGATAAAATGGTAAAGCATGTAGCACATACAGGAGAAATGCATACATACTTTATTTCAGTCAGAATCTTTGAAGGGAAGTGTCTACTTAAAATATCTAGGCATAAATGGGAAAATATTAATGAAATTTTTATGAAATGAGATGCGAGAGTGTGGGCTGGTCTCAGTTCTCTGGTTAGGGGACAGGGATGAACACTAGTGAAAAGCATCATGAACCTTCAGACTCCATAAAAGGTCAATTTCTTGATGGAGTGAATATTGACTGCTCCAGGATGACTCTGCATCTTACCGATATAAAATAAAATCATTTTTCAAAATAATACATTTTTATTGGGTCGAGAGCTGCATATCCAGTACTTCTTTCAGTTATGGTAAGACAAAACTCATTATAAAAACAGACTTATTCTTAACTAGTTTTACTGGTGACATCCTGAGATACTACATCTTATATATTGTATTACAAATACAAAATTGAAGGCTTTGGTTTTCTGTGAATAATTTATATGGAAATGTAGTTTATAGAGCCAGGACTTGACTTTCTTTGGAATCAAACACATTAATTTTGTAATAATATTTAGAATTTCCTATTCATTTGTAAGGGCTGTTCTGTAGTTTTTTAGTAAAATTTAAATAAGTTAACACATTTAGTTGAGGAAACAAGCATGCGCCATCAAAACTTAATTCCTCTTGTGTACCTGTAAAATATGTAAATTATGAAACCGATTGGTAAATTTTGTTTTAGAATTAGTTAGCCTGAGACCTGCACGCTGGAAGCAAATCTACTTAGAAGGCTGTGGGATGTTAAGAGTAATCCGCAGTGGCGCTGTGGTCATTTGGTGTTGTAGGTCTCTACATCGGGTGTGAGAAAAATTTCCATGTAACCTGCACATGTGATGTTTTGCATTGGAGAGTTGAATAGGTTATGTACGGATTGCTAATTCTGTGTTATATTTAACCGGTATCGGAAATCCCGAATTCATCTTGCCTGTTTTTTCGTTCTACACCTTTGGAAAATTGTTTGCTAATTCTCTGTTATATTTAACCGGTATCGTATATCCCGAATTCATATGCCTGTTTTTTCGTTCTACACCTATTGGAAAACTGTTTACTTTTATATACATAAATGATGTTTTATTTGTTATGACACAGTAATATTTGATGCATTAAAGAAGAAAACATTGCAACCTGTTATGTTGTGCACATAGAAGTGTTTTTTACCTTCTTTCCTTTTCTGTTGACTTTAAATAATATAATTGGTATTTATTATCTGTACATACTGGTACGAGGCTTATATTTCTAACCAGTGTACATCTGTCAAATAACTAAGAATTTAGTATCTTGTAGATCAGTCATTCTGTTGCTATGCCCCTGGGGCATGATATCATACAAAACATTAACACAAAATAAGTATCGTACTGAATGTCGAGTGGTAAACACTCCTACTTCATATTTTGGTCGTTGAGGACTCAAATGTTGACCCAGAGATCGGATATTCTTAATGAGGTTTTTGTGGTTTTCCTCCGTGCCTCAAGATAAGTGTTGGGATGGTACCTTAAAGAGGCCACAACTACATCCTCTCATTCATTACTGCATAGTCTGAGATACTGAAAGTATTATTAAATAAACTACAAATTATTAATAGATATGGCCTACATGTTATGAGTTTCTGTGACTCCCCACCTTTCCATCTAATACATATTAGGATACTTCCCAGGACATATAACAGTGCACCATGTATATTACCAAATTACATTTTAAGCATTTCTTTTGTGTATATGTAAATAATGCAGACTACTTTATGATATGTTTCCACTTCATCTGACAGTCAAGCCCTCCCTTCTGTCTTTTGGTCTTCCTCCCATCTGTGTGACATCTTTCCAAACTTGCTGTTCCCATCTTGATTTTAGTCTTTCATATCATTTCCATGTTCAAAATAATTCTTGAAATGTGTCTATTCCACCTCATTCTCTTATTGTATAGTTTATCTTCCAAGGTATTTAACTTTAGTAAAAGCTGTTCCATTATATGCCATGGTGGTGTTGATGGAAAGGTGCGGTATAGCACCTACTCGTTCTTGACCATAGGACTAGATGGGGAAAGTGCTCAGCGTCACTCCCCAGCCACACTGCCATTGGTGAAAGGACCCCAGTACCCACTGGTGGGTCACAGAGACTAGAATAAAAGTCCTTTGTCCCTGCTAAGAATTGAACCCCAGTTGTCCAGTCTGTAGTCAGGCACACTACTGACTGAGGTACCCCAGCTTAAGTTAAGGATTCTCAATAATTTGTTCCTCCTTCCTAAAGCTAGGCCCCATGTCCTGTGTTGTAGGAAGGCAGACAATGTTCAAGTATGGGAAAGTTTGTCAGAGCAGTACTCAGTGGGGACCAAGTTTGTGTCATCTACAAGGTAGCTTAGAAGGTCTGGCTGTGAAAGAGAATGGCTGGTGGGGTTACAGTGGCATTATATCAGGGTGAGCCTACTACTTTCAAGAAATGTGATAAAATGCAGAAGCCCTAGCAGTACAGTGCTGATAGTGAACAAATCTTTTATACCCCTACAGTTTAAATTCATGATACTTTCCTTGTGATCACTTAGGGAACTTAGAATTTTTTATAATGTTATACAACAGTTGCATTAAGAGGAGCACAGAAAAATTATGCAACATTGATTTGAAACTTTTTGGTGGTGTATATAATGGAGATTTCTATCTGTGTGTAATATTACGATAATACAGTAGTAATGCAATGAAACGTTTTTGATTATTATACTTTCTAGTTTTTGTTGAAGAAAATCCATTATTACGTATTTCATTTGCAATTAATTTCATGGTCAACCTCTTTCTGTCTCTCGCCCTGTGGCATGTTAACGCACTATGCCAACGCTTTTAGGTGTCTCCCCAAACAGCTTTGTCCATTTAGTTTGCAACGGAGAATTTGGAAAGGAGTTTTAAGTAAGGTATTCGAAAGATATTGTTTTTCTGGTTAGCTCTGTGATTTTCTTTAAATGTTATATATATATATGAAAAGTGGCGTACAGAAAAACCAAGAAGTCACAGATTATATACACGGATATTGCGATTATTCATATTCACACGTAGTTCACAATTTAAGTATGTGTGACCTATATATCTTTTCACGTTCCAATTCCGTAGTATCATCATTTGGATTGTGATTAATGTCATTGCGTTGCATTTTGACATTATCTTATGCTTCAGGTACCATTAGTGTAATACTTTAAGTCTCTTTATTACAATAAGACGACCATATTGACATTCTTGATCTGCATGAAGCAACCTTCGAGATGACGGCAAGAAGCAGAAGAAGAAGCTGCTGTAGTGATTTTTATCTTAGAGGAATAATTTTGTACCAAAGAATACATACTTAATTTTAATCTTTTAATAAATTAACTTTACGTTAGAATGAAAATATATGGAAGATTTGCATTTAGTTGTTTAGAGATCACGGGCAATAATCAAAGTTAAAATTGCATAATTTAAAATAATTTCCACATTTGAATGGGAAGAAGGGTTATGACAGGTTAAGCATTCTCCAAGACAAGGAAAAGCGCTTATAAAAAAGTTAGTATTGAAAGTACGAAGTGGAAGCAATGGCAGCTTCTAACCTAATCACGTCCCTGACACAGATAATGCATTCTTGCTTAAGTTATAAAATGCCAGTAACAGTTTACATCTGTTAAGGTAACATCAAAGTTGGAATGCCAGCTTTTCTAACCACCACCACTCAAAGGAACCATGTTCCTGAAGGTTTTTCTTCACGAGGTTTAATACTTTTGCACAATATAGGATTTGGGCATCTCGCACCTCATGGGAACCATAGATATTTCATAGAGAGTATCCACTAATATATTTCCTTTTACCTTTAGAACAATGAAGAGCCTTTTTTGACTAGCTGCTTGACATACTATTTCTTAAACTTGATGGCAGGCTTTTATCATTATACAATATTAATAATGATTTTCCTTTAAATGACTAGTGAAGAGTCAAATTAACAAGTTTTCTTCTTCTTTATAGGTGCATGTAATTGATGAACATAGATTACTGCAATAATAAAATGAACAGCAACAATGACTTTTCTGTTTGTCTGCCTGTGTATTATTTGAGTCTCATTCCAAACAAAATGGCAAACACTATGGAAGTAAGTAATAGTGGAGGTTTATACCACCTTTCTAATGTGTAGAACATGAGTGAAATTATAACTTCAAAGAAAGAGCAAGATATTATTTTCCTACATATTCCTATAACTCCAGTTTTTATCAGTCTTAGAGAATTTATATGCTTGTTTTGGCTTATGCACATAAGATTTTTCTGATGTGTCAGTTTATGAACAATTTTATCTAGAGGATGGCTATCTACTGGGTCATAGTGCCATATAGTCTGGTAGAAGTTTACCACCATTTTAGAGGTCATTGCTGCTTGTCCATTTATTGCCCTGATGATGGAGGCAGCAACATCTGAAACTTTGCTGAACTTCAACAAGACTACATGGCATTGCAACCCAGAAGACAGCCTTCTTTATACTCACTGCTGTAAGAACCTCAAATCCTGCTGACAATTTTATTTGAAATGTCTTTAGAACTGCCAAGGTATACAACATTTTATTGGCTTGTGTTTTTTTTGTTAAGTGGGTTAATTAATTGAAGCAGATAATCTGTATAATATATTAAATAGTATTATACTTACATTAATTTTCCAAGTGGTTTAGGCAAATGAAATTAAGTTGTGATTTGTGTATATGGTAGCCATATGAGTGTTATTTGTACATGTTTATGCAGTAAGAACATAGAACAAGATGATGTTTATGCATACCACAAGGTGAATGTTTGTAAATATTATTAGGTTATTAAACAATGAAGTAAACTAACCTAATTATCATTTTTATCATCTAATAAATTTTAATGGTGTATGTTGTGATGGGGTGGATGTTCATACTTTAACATTCAGGTTACCCCAGAATAATGTTAACTTATTGCACACATTTCTCTTTTAAATAAATATAGGAACACAGCTAAAAAAATTGCATTACTATTTTGTTACCACAGTATGACACTACTACAATTTTTGTTTGTTATTGTATTTTTTATGTTCATACGTTATAAATAGACCATACAAATGTGGTAAAATTATTCTGAGACATTAAGCCATTATATTCACATTAGTGATTATTTGTGATCATCTGTAAAAATCAAATCAAACTTTAACATAACCTAAAATTTGGTGTGTAATTCTCTGTACACTAGATTTAATGATTACAGTGTCTTTATCTTATTGTATTAAGCAGTGGCATTCAGGCATAATGTACCGATGTCATCACCTACATTACTATGGTTGCATTGAGTACAGCCTATAAGATTATATGTCATCATTATTATAGAATGTCACTGCAGAATTACACAAAAAAAAATTCTTTCCAGGCTCTTGTACTTAAGGATGAAGGATTGTATCGGTATATTGATGAAGGAAGTCATCAAACAAGTAATTTTTCTTCAAGGAACATTGGTGGAAGAGACATAAATAATGTTAAAATAATTAGCCATAGCAATGAAAATGGTAATATTGAAGAAGTTGAAGTTGATGTGGATGTTGATATTAGTAGTGACACTTCAAGAGGTGATCTGATAGATGATACTTCAACCCACTCAACCAACATCTTAGAAAGCAACATTGAAGAATTTATAAAACATCATCCCCCTTCTAGCAAGGGCAAAGGACAGTATTACTGCCGAATTTGTTTCAGGAGGTTTACGCAACAGGTAAACCTAGTGACACATGAACGAATTCATACAGGTGAGCGTCCATTCCGATGTAAAATGTGTCTTAAGGCATTTACCCAGCAGTCAAACTTGTGGAAACATGTGCGTACACATACGGGTGAACGTCCTTTTCAGTGTACCCTGTGCTCAAAAGCATTTGCTCAACAAGCTAATCTTTCAAAGCATCAGCGTATACACACAGGAGAGCGACCATACAGCTGCAATTATTGCCCCAAGGCATTTTCACAACGAGCCAATTTGCTTAAACATGAACGTACACACACAGGTGAGAGACCATTTTGCTGTCGGTTCTGCTGTAAAGCATTTGCTCAGCAGAGTAATTTGGATAAGCATGAGCGTGTGCATACGGGCATTAAACCGTATTCCTGTAAGCAGTGTTTAAAAAAGTTTACCCAGCAGAGCAACTTGACAAAGCATGAAGCCATTCATTCTAAAGAGAAACCATTTTCTTGCAGAAATTGTCAAAAATCTTATACTCAGAAAAGTAATCTTCAAAAACATGAAAAGAAATGTCAGAAAACAATATAGGGAACTCTGAAAACATGTACCATTAAGATAGTACTTGCTGAAATTCGTCATTCCGTGAATCCCCATATTCAGAACTCGGTAATTTGTGAACGTCTGTTGAAAGTTTCCCTTGTTAAAAATTACTTTCTCTGCAATTATTTTTATTCTGAAATAAACTATGCATGCTATTAAACTATCTAACTAGATGGCTTACCGAACCTGAAGGTTCATCACCGAATTAACCAAAGCCCTCCGCCGGACCCTGTCCTGGGCCAACAAAATCCAGTCTCCTTCAATTCCTATCTCCCATAGATCCCGCCTGACATTATCCTCCCATCTACATCTAGGTCTCCCCAGTGGTCTCTTCCCCTTAGGCTTCCCAACCAGTACCCGGTGCACACCTCTTGTCCCATCCATGCGTGCTACATGCCCCACCCATCTTATTCTTCTCGACTTAATCACCCTGACAATACTGGGGGAGGAGTACAGATTTTAAAGTTCGTCATTATGCAGTTTTTTCCATGGCCCATCATCTTCTCTCCTAGGCCCAAATAATCTCCTCAACACCCTATTCTCAAACACCTGCAATCTATGTTCCTCCCTCAGAGTGAGAGACCATGTTTTGCACCCATACAAAACAACAGGCAAGATTATTGTTTTGTATGTTTTAATCTTTAGGTTATGCATGTTATTAAACACCACAAAAATTCAACTTTTGGATAGCTCAATCAGAAAAGTGACTAACTATAAGCTGAATAATTGGGGTTCAATCCCCGATGGAGGTAAGGGATTTTTCCTCTCGCCCGTGTTCAGACCGGCTCGGGCCCACCCGGCCGCCCATCAAGTGGGTACTGGGGTCCTTTCCCGGGGATAAAGCGCATCCAGGGCATGATACCCCCAATCTAGTGCTGAGGTCAAGAATGAGTAGGAGGACTGCTTTATTTTACTTAAGCATTCAGAATTGAATGCCATTTGATGTGGCTCATCACTGAAAGCCAGTTACATGTTGAACTTCAGCCGGGAAAACCAAACGACAACATTTTTGTTTATAATATTATGAAGTAACTACCACCCAGCCTCCTATCCAGTGGGTACTGGGGGTCCTTTTCGGGGGATGAAGCACAGTCGGGGCGACTCTGACCACTCACCCGTATCTAGTGCCGAGGTTAAGGATGAGTAGGAGCTATGGCATATTGTGGGACAGCTTTATTTTGCTTTTTACCATAAATTGATATATTTTCAACAATATCCCAGTGAAAATGTAATACAGGTAAATGCATATTGTATATAATGTTACAATGTATTTATAGTGTGAATTATGTGAATGTAATATTATGTATTGTGTAACTGTCATGTAATACACAGTTGTGCAGTGATAATGAAAAATAAATTTTGCACAACTCAAATGGAAATGTCATTCACTTCAAAATATTAGCTTAAGTAGAGGAATAGGTTGTTTAATAAATATAACATTGAAGACCATTTAACTCTTAAGTGGAGGCAGCCATTAAATTGTGTTATCACTGTCATTCTTGCCCTTATGAACATTGCAATGAACCTTTGGATTCTATAAAATATGGAGAATTTCGTGACTAGCTGAGAATACTATCAGCTCCTCAAGAAGGACACATGATCAGCTGAATGTATTGTATAGCTTGCCTGTATTTCAAGAGGATTATTTAGTTTATTATTTTACCAACAACAGTAGTAGTACTTTCACAATGGCAGAATTTGAGGAATAAAAAGATGGAAGAATATTAATTTGGTTGCAACTATGGTGAAAGCAAATTCAACTGCAATACAGATATTTATGGAACAAGTTGATTAAAGATGGCTGTTTTCAGGGTTGCTGCACTGTGTAGTCTGGTAGAAGTTTACAGACGTTTTAGAGGTCTTTGCTGCCTCCATCATCAGATCGATGAGAAAATTCGGGAAACTTCAACCAGATTACATGGCACAACAACCCAGAAGACAGCTATCTTCAGACCCACCACCGTGAAAACCTAAAATCCTACGTAAACTTGATTAAATTCATACTAGAATCTGGTTACAGCTGTACCTCTTGTGTACGCGACGTTCACAACTTTTATGCTTAAAATAGATTATATGAATTCATCTGTGAAAAATTGTTTAGGAATCATTGCTGTACGGTAATTCTTGTAGTGTGTGTGTGTGATAGCATATAGAACCTCAACCTTTTGTGTGATTAAGGAGAGGTTCAAGAGAAGAAAAATTGTCAGAGGGTCTGTTTTGTTAAAGATCTTCGTAAAAAAAAACGTTATCTCTACCGCCACATTACTGAGTAGATTTATTGCTACACATGAGCATTCCTCTCTATCGTCAAATTGATATTTAAAGACGCCATTCTTTGCTTAAAAACCCTTTTACGTATCGTGAAGTCTAATGTGGCGATACATCAACACACTCGCACAGATCGAAAGGATTCATCGATCACATTAATTCGATCAAGTTGTAGTGCCATCTCTACACGGGTCCGTAAATTAGAGTCGCTGGACTAAATCAGCTGACGTACAGAACATCGCATATTGTAGTGTTGAATCAGCTGTTGATGCTATTACGATGTTACGTCGTGTCTTTGAACTTTCTATTGCGTATGCTGCCTGCAGCTTATAAACACAAAGGAAGAGTCAAGGTACTGAAATGCTAATTGTGTGGTAGTGTTGATATGCTGTATTGTTCAGCTGTTCATTGAGAAGGTAATGTTAAGTGTGGGGATTTATTGAACTAGTCTTAATTGTTGAATTACAAACTATTGGTTTAAAGCGCATGGTTTTATAAACGAATATACGAAATCCGAAAATAGCTATGAGGTTCCCGATTGGTATTTTGGAACTGGCAAACTGGCTGACAAAACAGTATACATGTTTTTTAATTTTATAATTAACTCTAGCTATTTCTGTTGGTGAACATATATTTTTAATTAAGAATTGAGCTTCTGGGATTTGAGAAAGAATGCTTATAAAGTGTGTTATTGACGACTCGTCAGAAAGCAAATTGTATCTTCATCCAAACCAAACCAGTAACCTTTGACTTGTAAAATTAAATTTTCAGAAGAAAAAACTAGGTATGAGATACTAAAGAGGAGAGGACACATTTCAGTCAGGATAGCCTGAGATTTGAACCTGGGACTTCCTGAATATGAAGTAGGAGTGCTAACAACTTGGCCCTAGGATTTTCAAGTCCAGGGACTTGTAGTTCCATGCATAAAATTGTGGTTACATTTGACTGAACAGTAAGGCGTGGGTGGACCTTTTCCAAGGCCCGTATCACTGAAGTGCTGCCACTAAGGTTATTTAAAGAAATTTCAGTGTCACAGTAAAGTGAAAGGGAATTGTTAAAAAATAAAAACTTTAAAATAATTTTGTTCTTAAATAAATAGGATAGCACTGAAACTGCCACTGTAGTAAACTGCGTTAGAGCAAGGATACGATTGGTTATCAAGACAACTCTTCATATAATCAGACAGGATCATCTTGAATTATTTTGTGTAATATATTTGATAGTAATTGGAAGGAACATTAGACTTTTGTACATAAAATATATGTGTGTGTTTAAGATTGTGTAACTTATTGATATATTATGATCACCTTGAGCATTTAATGTAGAGTTCATTAAACATTTGATTTTATTTGCAATATTTAATAGTAATATTTTTTAAGTACGGTACATGATAAGTAACACGTGGTAGGAAGTTGACATATACTGTTCATATTTCTAGGCTGCTAAAATTGTTGAATACTGTGAAAATAGATAAATTGCTGAAAACGAAACATGTGGAAGCACCTTCAGCCAGGAAGTTCTCCTGTTGATTGGTGTGAGGGGAACTACTTGATTTCTCCTCTCATTGCTGAATTTGTTAATACAGTAAGTATGCCTATATTACTTTGTGAAATAACAATGAGCTGCTTTTCTGACTCTGTATTATTTTATCCGTTTTCCTTTAGACTCTAAGAAATGAGGTTTATTTTTCTTACGTTTCTATGATTTTATTAAACATAATCACATGCAGTTTGGTGTCTTGTCTTCTTTGCTGCTGTATACGTAATTGGCTGTTCAGCTATTGATGCAGCACACTAAAATAAACAGTTCAATTGAATTATTATATCTTTGGTATTTACAGTGTGGTCTTTCAATTCATATTGTAAACATTGAATTTGAAATATTTTATTATTATGATTATGCAGTTCAGCAATGTTCTGTTCTTCCTGTTGCCTCCTGTGTTGATTCATCTCTTCCGAGAATATGGCCGGTTTGTGAATCCGGCGATCCATGTGATCTGGATCTTGTTGATGGTGGTAGGGATGAGCTCTGCATATTTCCATGCTACACTTAGCCTCATTGGTCAGCTGCTGGATGAATTAGCTATACTTTGGGTCTTCATGGCTGCCTTCTCCATGTTTTTTCCAAGAAGATTCTTCCCTTATTGTTTTCAAAATGACAGGTAAGTCACTGGATAAAATACTGTGTTATATTTAGAATTTCAGCGTAGAATGTCGCAGTAAAAGACATAGAAATGACAGATTTGGTGCAAAAATGAATGTAACAGTGAAAAACTACAGAAATGTTTTCATGAATGCTAAAGCAGGTGGTACACATAATAACCACTGTGCTTCAAAGGATTAATACTCTCAGATATTCCTTTTTGAATTCCAGGAAGCTGTTCAGCATGGCTGCTGTTGTTTTAGCTGTTCTTGCTACAGGATTGGCTGTTTTACATCCAGCTGCTAATGCATTTGCTCTTATGACTTTGGGACTACCTGCATTCTTTCTTTTGATTCATGAGCTTAGACGGTAAGATCTCACACAGATTTTCATCTGTTCTTTATCTAAGACTGCGGACCTGGGGTTTAATAATTAGATATCAATGCTATTAAATTGTAGGATATAAGTGCAGTTCAAATTTAAATTAAATTGATTTTATTAAATTAATTTTAAATTGACTTCTGTCAGTTTGTTTCATAAACCTTTCTCTCTCATTTCATAATATGCTGCAAAAATCCAACATGGGAGTACATGTAGTTTAGGAAAACCCTAAGTATGGATTTGAAATATAATTTGAATAGAAGATAAAAATTATTGTTGTCAGGTGTCGATGTAGCCGTGTGTACCGTCTTGGAATTCGTTGCGCTGCAATTTGGCTGCTGGCCGTAACCTGCTGGATCAATGATCGCTTGTTCTGTGATGCGTGGTCAGCCATAAACTTTCCGTACTTGCATGCATTTTGGCATGTGTTCATCTTCATTGCATCATATACAGCCTGTGTACTGTTTGCATACTTCTCTGTCAAGGATGAACAACCGCATCAAACACCAGTTCTTAAATACTGGCCTCGTGACAACTTTGAGCTTGGGATTCCATATGTAACACTACGCTGCTATTACAAATCTGACAGTAACCAGATATAACTTTACAGCAGGTAATGTGAAGATCACAGCCATCTGGGATAATGTGCAAGTTAACCAACATTTTAGAGGTATTAACCACCTCTGAAACGTCAGTCAACTTCTATGAGATTACATGGCACATTATTCCAGAAAGCTGTCATCTTCGTATGCATACCCATGAGAACCTGAAATCTCACAAGTATGATCTTCATATGTAATTATATTTGTAATGTGAGTGGATATTTACTTTATTCAATTATGTAATTTTGTAGCATACAAGTAGATTTCTAGATACATCGACTCTGTGAAGTAGTTTGTGTCACAACCAGTACTTGAAAATTAAGGTACAAATGTGGCACATATACTTTCATAATGTAGGACATATCAGTTGCCTGAAGGAAATGAATTATAATGTTAAAAGTAAAATTAATCAAATACATTACGGAATAGAATTATTTGAAATTTAATATGACATCTTGTTTGTCAGTTGCAGATTGACTTTAAATCTGTTTCAAATTTGTTACATTCATTGTTATAATAATTATCTTTAGCAATCAGTTTGACAGTGATAACTGATAAATCATAGCTAAGCTTGTGAAATTTGACAAGGAGTCATAACATGCACATAAATTGTGCATGTGTTAGTCAACAGTTATAACTAATATGTTCTTGCCAAAAATATAATAATTAAAAATAGATTCTAATAACAATACATTCGGTAAGAATCACAAATAATAATAATAATATCACTTAAATGGAATTCAGTCACATGACCATCTGCACGTTAACCTAAAATGCTAACTTCTGAGCTACATTGCAATTCATTGCTAAATTGTATACTTATATTAACTAATTATAACATTAACAGCATAAGATCTATATGGTTAGAAATCTCTTGAACAGGAAAGTGGAATTTGTGTTGTACCCGGTATTCCATGTTTTACTACACTAGTCAGTATGATATTTGAATAGGCACTCTTTCTGTTACTCTGAGCATTATATGGTGATAAGTGATCTTTTCATATTATATTTTTTTTAAAATGTTTACCCTCCTTTAATAGAATTTTATTCTTTAGTCATGTAGTAATCAGTCCACTCAAAAGTATTTGATGTGTTGATTTATTGTTAGTTTCTTTAACCCTTTGCAGTCCTTTATTAAATTCTCTGTGATACTATGTGACTCTTTATGTATTTTCTTGGGCCCCTTAAATTAAGTATTTCACTTTGGATATGTTACAGCTCCAATGTGATATTATTATATATATATATATAAAATGTATTGTGGGGGCTTTCTAGTGTTTTATTGTGATATGTTGGCCAGGTATAGTTTGTAGAAAGAAAATTTGTGTGATATTGGTGAATGATGCCCTCAGTTTCATTTGTCCCTACTTCCAGAAGTGTCATGTATTTCTACACAGTTTTCCATGTTTAACTGTTTTTAAGTACAGAAAGAAACATAAAAAAATTACCATTCCCCTCAATTTTATTGAATTAAGGTTTATAATATTGCACCTTTATATAAAGATTCATAATTAATAAGGGAGTATAGTAACATACAGTGGTTCTTGACTCATGCATCCTATAATGTATATTTTTCCAAAGTTTAATACTCTTTCATGAATTTCTCTTTATGTTCAGTATAAATACAGTTAAGAATATATTATAACACATTTCCTTTGGATGAGTGGGAATTTATGTTTAAACACATGGAAGTTGTACAATGCAAAAATTTCATTATTACCCTGTGGCACTACAGAGAGTATCAGATTTGATGATGAAATATAGAAAAATGTAAAGGGACCTGAGAATGGCAACTTTTGTTATAAAACGATTATAAGAGAATGAATAATTGTGTATTAAATCTTAGTTAATTTACCATTGACTTACAGTGGATGAAATATAAATGAATGAGCCATGTTGAATATATATTTTAATAGACTTAAGATGACTATTTCCTTTCATAATGTACATATGTATGTATGAAAGAATGTGTGTTATTTCAAATAGTGTAGTAAATATTTTGAAGGCTTATGTGTTTTAGTGAAGTTTTATAGTTGTTAATCATTTCATCTGAGAACACTGAATATCCTTCAGTTTGAAGGTCGCGATTTGAGATGGTGTTTAGTTTCATTCAAGTGTTGCAAGTTGCCCATCCCCTTCAGACCTATACTTGACCTTGAAAAACGCAAGTAATGTTGTGGCATTGTTTATATCACAGCACAGTAACCTTGTACAAATAACCATACTGTTTTCAGTAAACCAAGGTGAAACTAGAAAAGAAATTCACATTAATGTGATCTAATTGTGCCAACTTCATAACTGGCCTGTCAAACTAAGTATTAGAAATTTTTTTGTGGTGAAGAAGAGCATTTTCTCAGAAAATAACAATTTCAAACAAATCAACTGTCACTCCAAAAATTTAAACAACTTGTTTTTTGTTTTGTTTTTAATATATAGTTGGTTACTCAACTGACAAATGACTCTTGGTACTACACTGACAGAAAGTCAACAGAAATTATCATTTGCTACTTACAGGGGAAAATTTCAACCCCAGAATTGAAATCCCAATTGTGATCTTGGGGTATAATAACTGCATATAAAAATATGTTTGGCATAATTAGATAATAAATTAATTAAAATATACCTGATATACTATCACTTTCATCCCTTTGTGTGGAACACTTTGAGAAAGGCAAAATCGTAATTACCCAAAGCAAAAAATTTTCTAGCCTAATTTTTGGCACCAAAGTTGAACACTGTACTAAATCCTCAGGCAGTTCCATCCATCTTCCATTCTTGTAACCTGTCTTCCTAAAACCATCTTAATGTTACCTCCAACCTCCTCTTGTTTTCCAGATGGAAATTTTTCAAGAGGTTTCTCCACTAAAATTCTGAATGTATTTTTTGCCTCCTTTGGTCTGATGACATTATGGATGAAGGTTAAATTCTGTTCCATAAGCAATCCAGAATGGAATCAATATTTTGGGTGAAATTATTTCTTGAACTGAAATAACTAAAAGACGTTATAAATTTTGTACTCAAATGTCTGGTTGCACAAATATGATAAAGGCCACACTATGCTGAACATCTTGTCACACAGCCATTTTAGTTGCCTGTTTAAAAAGCAAGACTGTGGTGCATGTTATAGTTGGAAAAATATGAATTTGGAATTTTAAATATGTTATCTCAAAATTCAAAATAGTGGTGCCATCTTTCAGCTTCGTGGAGCTCCGTCGTGAGTATTTTCTAGAGCAGTGGATTAGAACGAAGGTTTACAAAGCTTAACCACCTCAATTTCCAGGTCTTACTCTGGTACCCTTTTACTTTTGGGACTACATATGGACAAAATCAAAGACTTGGGCCATATTAAATAAAGAATTGGGGACTAAGCTAATCTGTGGCCGCAGACGTTCTTACTGGGTAACAAGAATTCACTTGTTAGATGTATGAAGATTAACAAAGTAGGCTCACATTGAACCAGTGTTTGTATTTCATTCAACGTGTTTGATGTTCCTAGCGTACATTATCAAGACACAGAAAAACCGTGTATGAGCGAATAAACTGTATATCAAAATATTTCTTGATAAGTATCGGTAAAATTTGTATAATTACCGACTCCTGATATAGTGAAAGTATTTAAAATTGTAATGCTGGTATACTTTTAGGGTATTCTATTTTAGATTATTGTATGCATTTGTAAGATTGCTCATGTGTCTGTAATGAGAGGCAGTACCTTTATACTGTAATTTAAGAAAAATCGCTATTCTGTTGTCAACTCTTGCGAAATATTGCCACGTGGTGATAAATGACACAGTACATGCGCACTCTGTTCTTTGAAATGAAAACATGCACTTCATGTGTAGTTGATATATATAGTTATATATTGGATTTGTTTCTTTTTTAATAGAATTAACAGTTTTAAGACATTTAATGGCAGTAGCTTTGATGTAAAAAGTATAACGGTGCTAAAACCATATAGAGACTTTACTTTTATGTCTAATTTATACCAAAAATGCATAGCCAAAGATAGTAGTTTTTATATGTCTTTATCTTGTGACTCCTTTTGATATGTGTGTTGATAAATTGTCACCGTTCTTTGTGGTTGAATCTGTTATATTTATATCAGTGCACTGGTAATATGTGCTCAATGACTGAATAAAATGACATGAAGACTTTTATGAGATAAACATTTACCTCTAATACAAATGGTGACATATATAGGTACTCAAGTATAGAAAAAAGTCATCACAGCAGTGAATCAGTTGGTTAATTGGTTTATTAAAGTTTACTTAAATGTACCACTTTGGGCAAGTACAAAAATTAGTCACTTTCAAAATAAACATTCAATTTTATATTCTTTTTAAAACACATTTAATGCTTTTCAAGATTATGGAATCATCATGAATCTTAAATACTTCCAATTAATCAAATTCTCCCCTAAATATAACTATATTCTTTTCTGTTTCATATATTTTTACCTCATGCAACATTGTTGGCCTGGGTAACTGTGCCTTCAGGTTATTCCAAATGAATACAGCCACATTCTCTGTGGTGCTAACTAAATTACTGAAGTGAGGAACATCCTTATCTAGGTTCTTGTGATCCAGTGGCTCCATGATCGCATTGTCCATGTACTTCTTTAGATCATTAATATTCATTACCATTCCTGTGTCTCCATCTACTGGTCCACATAGTGTTACTTCAACTATAAAATATAAAAAAATGCATAGTGCATGTAAGTATTTGTACCACATAAATTACTACTAACTTGTTTCTATTTTAAACAAGGGCAATACTTATCATTTTACACTACTGAGTGCCCACAGAATACTGAAGCTAATTCTCATAACATTCATCATCATAAATCTCTCTTGATGGATGATTAAGTCTGAACATGGCCAATTTTATACAGAATAAATGTTTAATGACTGCATTTTTTATGTTATGCATTCCCACATAACAACCATTCCTTGAAAATATTGGTCTTTATTTTGTGATAAAAAAGATGTTACTTCTTCCTTTCTTTCTTCATATACCTTATTCCATATTTTAATTTCAGAATGTGACCGCATGCCATTACAATGCTTTTACAAAGGCTCTATACAATCAAACCAGCAACTGTATTTATAGTTTGTTAATGCATGGCATAAAGCCATTATGAAGTGCTTGAAAGAAGACCAGCATAAGAGACTTTAATAGATTGTGCAGGACTGCATAACATTAAGCATTTGAAGACACTGAACCTGAACATACACTCCGTAATTTAAAAAAAGCATTTGTTAAAGATTCCCTATCACCAGTTTAATCTTGATTTTATCAAAACACAAATAAATTTATGATAATATGAACTCACCAACATAATTATGTCCATGCCCATTAACATTATTGCATTTTCCATAAACTTGTGCATTCTCTTCTTTGCTTAATCGTGGACTGTAAAAAATATATGAATCACGAAACAAAAGCAACAATATAATTTTATAAATGAATGGGCAAAAGATACTGCACTATGTGAAACAGATATAATATGAAGATATAGGTTAAGACAATAACATTTCTGCAAAACATGTCAATTCAACACATTCCAACTAACATCAATGGTTGTGCAGCCTTGGCTATAAAGGATTATGAAAAGTCTGTCAGAATTGCAGGACCGGGTGACAAAGTACTGATAAAGCTTGACAGGTTACCTTGGGATAACCTAAAAAAAATCTTTTATATTTTCAGTTAAAATTAAAGACAATGTAACAATTGCATATAGATCGCAAAAAAACGTGTCTGTTACCTATGTAATCGATGGCAAGCACTAAAAATTTCTTTGCGAGTCAAATATGCAATAGGGGCCTTCGACATTATTACAGACTAAAACTGCAAGAATGACGTCACGAACGAAACGTCCATACTTGTTACGTATCACAGATGAACAAATTCTTAAGCTCAGAAAAGTATTTACGCTGCAAAGTAAAGCGACCATTAAGAATGGTTATCATAATTAAAATCGAAACGGTTCGACAGTTTTTCGTAAAATTTTCCAGAACTGAATTTAGTTAAAATTAGGCTATTCATTCTGCGTACAGTGAATATAATCACTTTACGTCAAATCACCATCATATGAACACATCTTACTTATTCCCACCAAGAATGGTTTCAAATTCTTCGTATTTGAATAATTGCAACATTTACTTGCAGGTCATAAAGAAGTGTTAATGGAAGGAAGCTGGATGGTGGTGTGGACTTTAACCTAGACGTAACAAGTAATGTCCAGTAATTGAATTGACATTGAAGTTTGTGGAATGCGCATATTCTTGGTCTTCCTATAAAAGAATAGTAATAATCAGATTTTGTGTACAACATGTTTTCATCGTCAATGAGACACGCGTCAAAGTCATCCAAGGTACGAAGGCCTGCCCTAGGTTCAAGATAAAAGCAATTGAGATTTGAGGTTTTCATGGAGGTGTGAGTTCATATTACAGTTTTCTGTTTTATGACGCTTGTGGACAATGCCTGCTGATTAATTGTGTGTGGAATAGTATTCTTGTAGAGGGTAATTATATTATTTCAATCCCAGCTAGAAATGCAACACAATGTCGTAACATAGAACTAATTTTTAAATGAAGGCTGAATTTCGTGTCCTTTTTGCATTTTTGAAGCAATGGTGTTATATTTTGTAAAAATAAATGATACTCTGAATAACAGCTTCGTGAAGAAATTCTTTCAAAAGATAAGTCACAAACACTATATGTGTTTGTTTTTACATTCATTGTACTTGTCTTGCCTGTATCATCCTTCATTAAACCATCTACAAGCTATGCTTTTCTTTGGTTAAATGATTTTTTATACTTAGTTTAGTTCTGATGAGACTTCCATCCCTGGGCAGTTTGTTACCTGTGTTTTAATGGTACTTCATCATGCCAAACAGTGTTATTGGGTTGTTAATAGCAATTATTTATGTTTCAGTTCTGTAATCATCTGAAAAGATTTCAGAGCACTCTGGTGATTGCTGAACACAACAATGAGAAACTGCTGCCAATTACACAAAATGCAATATCAGCGGCAGCAAAAGTTGGTGGAGATATATCAGTTCTTGTTGTTGGCACTAAATGTGGTTCTGTAAGTGTTTAGTTTGACATTTTCAACTCTTTATGTTTTCAAACTAGTGTTGCATATTATTTTCTTGTTTCTACATCAGTTTTCTTACCATTACTCTGTACACATAAGCAGTATTAATTCTCTTTCAGGTTGCAGAACAAGTATCCAAGGCTCCTGGCTTAGCACGCATATTAGTGGCTGAAAATGAAGCTTTTCATGGTTTCCTACCAGAAAATGTGACACCTTTGGTGCTGGCAACACAGAAGCAGTTTAATTTTACACATATTTTGGCTGGAGCTAGTGCTCTTAGCAAATCGCTTTTGCCTCGTATTGCAGCCAAGCTAGATGTGTCCCCTGTTTCAGATATTATAGGCATAAAGAGTCCAGATACATTTGTTAGAACAATTTATGCAGGTAAGCATTTTGATTTTAGTAGTTCCAAGGCAATTAGCATCTTTCTGAGATAATTATAATACCAGTCAGAACCTTTCTTACTGAAGAAAATAAAGGTTTTTCAGATACTATATCACTTGGTTATTAAATTTCCTTTCCATTTAGTGAAGCCATAGTACATTATTGTTATTATTGTAGTTAGGTTTTTTTCATGTTCAGAAAATCCTGCAATTAAGGTACCAAAGAAGGATATCTGTCCGTATATTTACTTGTAGGTGTTAATTTTGTTCTCAGGTAATGCAATTTTAACTTTAAAATCAAAAGATCCTGTTAAAGTACTTACTGTGCGTGGAACAAGCTTTGAACCAGTACTGTTGGAAGGGGGCACCACCAAGACTGAGATGGCACCGGCAGGAGAGTATAAGACAGGCTTGTCTCAATTCTTAAGCCAGGAGTTAAGTAAGAATGACAGACCAGAACTTACTGGTGCCAAAGTTGTTGTCAGTGGAGGTTAGTATTCTGTATAGTGGAATAAATTGGTCTGTAAAATTTGTTTAAGAATATTAAGTGAATTTAAATTTGGGACATAGTCATTTATAACTTGCTTTATTCAAATTTCTCAAAAAATGCCGAGTTTTCCCCCCAAAAAATATAGGTTTACCTGACTTAAAGAAATATATCTCTTTGATATGACTTCTATTTGAAACATTTTTAATGTTGTTAAAATTTTTGGAGGTATAAATGTCATTATGGGACAGTAGATTTGTATCTGCAGTAATGATTATCAGTGCAAAATGCCAAAACGTTATTTTGGGGGAAATAATTTCCACTCCATAATAATTTGCTTTAGCTTTCCCGTGTACGCTATTTCAGGACGTGGCATGAAGTCTGGTGATAACTTCAAGTTGCTGTATGACCTTGCAGACAAACTGAATGCAGCAGTGGGTGCATCTCGAGCAGCGGTGGATGCGGGATTTGTCCCTAATGACTTACAAGTGGGTCAGACGGGGAAAATTGTAGCTCCGGTAAGAATAAGGTTCATGCCGTCTTAATTTCGTTATTTAGTTGGTGTTAGTTATTTAGCTTTTTCATTTTTGCGAGGGATCTGGCTTATACTCTGTTGTTGTTGGTTACTATTATCTGTACTAAAAGTTTTCAGTGTCCATTTTTAAATGCTCCTTATGAATATTTATTCAACTCTGGTAATAGAGCGTGAAGGATTGACTTCATTGATTACAAAGCTTGTCGACGTGATTCTGAACCAGTAAATTCATCTGCCTTATGTAATATAACACTCACTAGAAATATAGGATAGCATAAATTAGTCCGTGAAATGGCAGCAGTTGGCGAATCGTTGGTTAATTGACTCTAATTTTCCTGGATAGGTTTTTGAAGAAATGGGTTGTGAACTAACTGATTTAGGGTTTATGGGCTGGCTTGTTGCAGCATTAACCCTTTAAGTTTAGTGATTACTTTATGTACCATTTACCCGTGCCGCAGCCGCGCGGTCTGAGGCATCGTGCTTCGGACCGGCGATACAGAATGCGCGCTGGTTCAAGTCTCGGGGGAGAAGAAATTTTTTCATGAGATTTTCGACCAGTGTATGGGACCGGTGCCAACCCAGCATCGTGAGGAAATTGGGGAGCTACGATGAGTAGCGTAATCCGGTCATGAAAACTAGGAATGGCTGGGGGTTCGTCGTGCTGACCACACGTCACCCTATATCTGGTTGGATGATCGTTCACCTCTGCTTAGGCATGTGAACGTGAGGCCAGCGGCCAGCTAGTCGGCTTTGGTTCTCGTAGGGCTGTCATGCCACGGATTATTAACTCTGCATTATTTCCCCAAAGTATATTTGTGTGTTTCTCATAGTAAACAGTGTTTATTTCTTTAAACAGCATTAACCAAGTGATTTTTGTAATATGTGCATTTTCTTTGAGGTTCAAACTAAATTTTTAGATATTTAGACGAGCTTTAATTCCAAAGGGTTAATGAACATTTGGATATCTGTTTAATCATGATATTGCAACTTTCCGTCGTAAAATATTGTTGTCGTCTCGTTCTCATCTTAGGAATTATATATAGCAGTAGGCATTTCTGGTGCCATCCAGCATCTTGCAGGGATGAAGGACTCGAAGACGATCGTGGCCATCAATAAGGACCCCGAGGCACCTATTTTCCAGGTCGCCGACTACGGGTTAGTACAAGACTTGTTCAAGGCAGTACCGGAGCTCACAGGAAAGCTTTAAGGGGCACAACATGCACACAACAATGCGAAATAAGCTTCTTATATTTTGTGATCATTCATACAGTTGTTATAAATAAAACAAATAAGAAAAATGAATTTATACATATATTATTTCGGTAAAATGGCTTACACTCACTCAAATTGTACAGCTTAAATAAATTTGTACATTTTTTTTGTTATTCATTATCATATTGACTAATAATTACTTAATAAATAGAGACTTTAAGTACCGCTTATAATTAATAAAATGTAGTTACGTTCGGTCCGTAAAGTACCAAAGTTCTACCATAATCTCCTCCATTCCTATGTATGTACTAGTCCATGAGTGGCAAGATATGGATGATCAAATGGAAACAAGCATTTGAATATCATAAAAGTAAGGAATTTTTTTACCATCTGAGCAACCGTGAACTTTCCAAGGAAGCTTTGTGTCGTAAAAGTTTGTCACTGGATTATCCGACTTAACGTGAAATTTTCCCTTTGGTTTTATGACGCACAAATTGAACATGCAGCTGAGCAAGTACCACTCATGTTTTGTATTCAGGAGATCCTGGTTTCACGTCTTGGCCAAGACGTGGGCTGTCCAGAGTGATTTTTTGTGCTTTGTCTAAGTCCCTCTACTCGGATGCTGGGAGAGTACGTTAATTAGACCATTCCTTTCATAGTCTTTTCATTCGTTATTAATCTTACTATCGAGCGTTGCTTGCTCAGTGTAGTGTCTGATTACAGACTGGTTGATGATAGTTTGATCCCTGGCAGGGACACAGAATTTTTCTTCTAGCCTCTGCATCCAGATCAGCTCTGGCGTCCACCCTGTCTCCTATCCAATGCGTACTAGGAGTCCTCTCAAGGGAAAGGAATGACCGGTGTATGATGTTGATCTAGCTCTTTTTCCATAAATTTTTTTACTTAATAATCCATGCCTTTGGCCTATATAAAATGGAAAATATACTAGAAATAGGAGAAGATAACCTCCATAAACTATTCTTTGTTCCTACATATTTTTCTGCCAGATTTTATGTGCATGTGTAAAAAATTTTAACTTTGTTTGCTTGTGTCCTTAATCCTCTCCCATCTGTATTTAAATGGTAACCCCACATTTTACCCTGAAGAAATGGTTATTTTACATTATTTTATTTTAAGACAACTTGGGAAATGAAGCCGTTGTATGAAAAGAACATTGCTACTTGAAATTGTCAATCTCAGAGTATCAAAGAATTAACTCCCTATGGAAAAAGGAAATACAGAATGCTGTTTTGAGTACTATCCCCAGGAATAGAAGGATACATAAGACGTTTAGAGCATAGAACGATGAAGTTTGAAGGCAAAAGAACACAAAATGCTGTGGATAATATTTGTATAAAGGTGACAGAAACGAAGAACAAATTACATCGTGAGAATGTTTATGTATTTCTGTTAAAATGAAGCTGAGAAGAGGTTATATGCTGGACCACCCTGATCGAGATGTTTTAGCATAGGACAGACCAATAGTGACGTGGTGGAACTCTTTGATGACCTTGTAAGTACCCAGAAGCACAAAGAAGGCTCTCAACAAGGTCATTTGACGTGATACCGGAAACTGATTAGGCCTAGTCTACAGTAACCTTGGACACACCCTTGCCAACAGCTTTGTACAAACCGTTTTGTGACAAAAAAGCCAGCTGATTTTTTTAACCAGATTGCTTCGAGCTTTGTTATTTTTGTAAAAATATGCACAGTGCAATCAGTGTCTTTGTGAACTCACGAAAAATTTAAACAACTTAATTTAAAGGGGACTGGTAACATGAAATTTAGAAGTAACTTTGTCATATACATCTGCTTTCTATGTTGTCTGCATGCTATTGCCATCTGTCGACAGCCGGGAACTCTATGAATGCACATCCGCAGTAAACAAAAGTGGTGTTCGTGTAGAGGATTGACAAATTAAATGTTCACCTTGTATTAATTTAAAACTGTTATTGTTCGAAATCAGTGTTTCACGTTGGGAATAAACTAACTGCTACCCACAGTAATCGTTCTATCTGGACGGTCATTAGAATTCCTTTCGAAGCATGTGTCCGCATTTACTTGTGTTGCGTTTTTCCTGATGATGGGCCCAGCACATATCCAAGGAATTCTAAATGTCTGAAATATTAATGATATTTTAATCGAGTCTAATCAAATGTGTATGGGAACAAGTCGAAGATTCTAATTGTTACAGCTGAGGGAGAAGAAATATAGGTCCATAACATGTAATCTCCTCTAAAATGACTTCTCTGGGTAAAATGATATACCTGTGCTATTGAAATGTCCCTCCAATGATTTCTAATTTTGCGCCGTTAGGTTGGTCGTGTTGGTACACAACTACAGTGAAATATGGCGTATTGAAAAAGCGGTGGTTTCGAGGTTCATGTGCAAAAGTATGTTTTCTGGCGTTTATCTTATGGTTTCACAGTCACCGTTTATCAAAATTGGCAGCCCAATGTATGTGATAAGTTTAGTGTAACGAATATTCAGTGAAGAATTTGGAAGTAAGTAATAATTAATACCAATTGCTTCCATCAATGTTTTGTTTGTTTAGTAGAGTATGGTTAGTAAAACATTGCAACCAACTTCGGGTTAAATATCATACCAGGTTTGTTTGTAACTACACAAACCTAACAGTACAGATTATTTTCGTTTGTCAGTCGATATCTTTATTTGCCAATGTACAATTTAGTGTCTTCAAATTTGATTATGAATACGTTAAATTGTACTATACTTTGAACTTGGTTATCTGAATTTGTTTTACTCTGTTAGCAGTAGTAAGGTACTGATTTTACCGTGATATATTACTCTGTTTTCTGTTTTGCCCCTCTGTGCGAACACATTGCCCATTATTATAAAATTAAATGTTTAGTAATCTTTATTTCTAATTATAATAGTATTTCGTGAGAAGTATGTCATTTAACTCAGGGCCTCGGACAAAAATAACAAACTGTACTTTTTTTGTCATATTTATGTTTGTTTTTTTAATTTTCCATAGGAAGACTAGTTACTTTTGTATCAAACATTTCTTCATACTACAGACATTACAGAGAGCATGCAGTTACACATTCGCAGGTAACTGCTAATTTGTTAACTCGTCTTTCATTTATGGTATGTCATCTTGGGCCATTCTCCTCTTCTCTCAAACTTTCGTTTAGTTTGAAGCATACTCTCATTTCCATTTGAACAATCGCTTCATTAATCTGATGTATCTTGTGTATTTATTCATAATTTATTTAACGACTATATAGCGTCAAATGACAGGATGGTTATGAACAATGAATTGGGGATTGATGTGGAGGGAAGAGTTAGTGACCCGTTTGAGGACGCTAACCCTGCATTTTGTTGGAGTAACTGAGAAAATCACAAAATACTCAGCCATTTCACCAAATATTCAGTCATTATGTATAGGGACTACATTTATCAAAATAAGAAAACGACGTAACTCATGAATCAGAGTGATTCGTGAGAATCTAATAGACGCTTAGCTGGCAAAATAATTCGCCTTATTTAATGGAAATCGAAGGTTCAATAACGTGTACACAAGAGTCCGCCCTCGTTCTCATCCTGAGTCAGATTAATCCTGTCCATGTATTCATATTCTATTTTTTAAGATAATTTTAATATTCCATCTGCATCTAGGTCTCCCAAATGGTCTCTTTCCTAAGGTTTTTCGATCTACAATTCTGCATACAAAACAACGACATAGGTTACCAGAACCACTAGGAAAATATTAGACTCATTAATTATACAACTTCGATTTAAATGTATAATTAATATCATATGACGTGCCAAGTATTTACAGTTGACATGGACAAGGTTGCGATAAAAATGCAGAGAAGACCGTTATGAACTAAACCGAATACACCCAGAAGCCAGTGTCTGGAAATTCTGATAATTTCTGGTGAACAAAGACAAATTACTTTCTTTAAATAAATGGGAAAGCATTTTACCTGTCCGTGTGTTATTAAATCCGACTACCCCGATTATTATATTGGGGTTTTTCTCTTCGGAGTGGCCAATGACACCTGACGTCGGCTACCTATGTCCTGTTTGGCAGTGACAATAGGTTCAAGAACCAGTGCCGTGGTCTCCAGAAGGCCACGGTCAGATCTGAAAGGGGACGTGTGGTTATCGGGCGTGGTCACAATCCTCACATAACAGGAGCTCAAGAATGTATAAAAGCTTGTCGTATGCCCAACACATTACAGTATTCCCCTTGTCCAACAAGAGAAACACAGATTCATCATGAAGGTAGGTTTTCAGTTTCAGTTTGACAAATTTCTTTCGGTTTTGTGCGGGTGTTTTGTGATGTGCAAATATCGGGTTTTGATTTAACCACAACGACGCGTGTCTTGTATGCGTGTTTCTGACGCATACATAATTAAAATTAACTTTCATATTATTTGCTCCATCTAACGGAATCTTAAAAAAAAAATTATACACATTTCTTCTCCATTTTATACAGAATTTAAATTTAATAATTACTATTACACGGGCCGCGATAGTTTAGTCATAAAATTGTTATGTAACAACTGGAGTACAAGCTTTCGATTCTGGCTTGCAGCTGGGAACTTTCTTCTCGCCACAGCGGCCAGACAAGTTTAATTACACAGTGTTATTAATAAAATTACCGCATCAAACGGATTGAAATGTGGAGAATATTCAGCAAGTTATCCCACCTTCTCTTCCAAAGTGTTAATCCCGGATTGTGAACCTGACCATTCGCCTCAGTTTAAGAATGCATGGAGCTTTACCTCCATTCCTCATCAACGATTCAATTCCTTTAAATCTGTGACGTTCAGGTGGTGTTGTGCTTGGCTGCCGTCCTGTGTGTAGTGAGTGGAGGTTTCGTAGCCGGACCAGCTGCCCTGGTCCGCGCTCCGAGTTTCGACAGCGCCATCATCCAATCGGAGCGCCTGGGAGGAAACTTCGCGTACAGCACAGCCGAGAGCCACGCGTATGCCGCCATCAGCCCTGTGGTTCAGAACTTGGTCAGCCCTGTAGGAGTGACCTACACCGCCAGCCATATTGCCGCTCCTTATTTGTACCGTTAAATATCGTGGATAACGACTATCGGCGTCACAGTAAATTATTTTACATTTGTAATTTCTTTTTCGTTTTGCATTAATGGACAGCAATCACTACTGCTTGATGTTTGTTCTGTTGTAAAGACACAAATCACGTTTCGCGTATCCACACACCAATGTATGAGAATGGCATGCCTCTAGGCAAATTGTAATTTATAAATATAAAAGATATTCACATCTGAACAGCCATCAGTTTGTCTCCAATAGGTCCTGCTCCAATCCTTATGAATGATTTGATGAACAGCTCACATTATAAAGCCTCTGGACTTGTATTTTTCTACATTCTGCTGTTACTCTCTTCAAGTTCAAGTATTTTATTCAGAAGATTGTTTCTCAAATATTTCCAATATATTATTTTATATTCGTATATCGTATAATTTATAAACAAATGTTTGTGTCCCCAAAAATGATCTGAACAGAACTTAATTATCGTAATTTTTTCTAAAAAAAATATTTGGAATGTTTCTATCCTTGAGATATTTATAGACATGTTTATCTCCTCTTGAAATAAGATTTTATTATAACTGCTTATCCAAGCCATTATTGATATATTCCTTCGTTACTTAATCCAAACCGGTTCTGTGCCGACCCAACCTCCTATAACGCTAAAGTTTATAAATGCAAATATCTTTATCTCAAAGCCATAATGACGCTGAATTTACAACCTGAAGAAACTTTGCCTCTGATCAGTGTCATTTAAAATTTATCTCACACCTGGATTAGTTGCTGAAATGTACTTTCCTTCTTTCTAATCGTTTTTATGTATTATCCTACCGTAAAATATTTCTCACGATAACATTTCAGTACCGTGGGCTATATTAAATGACATTACGCTACTCCTGTTTCAAAGTTTTTCTCAGGCACCCTGATCATATTAATAACATGACAAAGCACAAAAGTATAAAGGTCCACCAGTTGTATGAATTTATTTGTGGCTTTTTAATGTCACGGAAAGATAGAAAAAGCGGTCGTGGCCTAATTTAAGGCACTAGAGGGACTACGGAAAACCATGAGTTAGGATAACCGATTTTTGGACCGAGAATTGAACGTGGGACTTACCACAAAGATGCAGGGGTGCTAACCACTCGACAGCGACTTTGGGTTCCGGTTTTTATAAAGCTAAAGGAAAATGACAGATTAAGAAGTTAAAAGGGAATTTTCTCATGAAATATATAGTTTTATCGTCTTTATTTTTGCGATAACTTGTAAATTAATAAATAAGCAATTTGAAGTCTGGACGTAACAGAAGTTGGTTGATGGTGTTTCTAAATTCGGGGACACTAAATTCGACGAGAATTTTTACCACCAAGACAAGGTATGGCTTAAAATTTAGGAATTTTAACTAATTGGAACTGTGATTGTTTATTCATTGAGAACAGAAGATATGTATTAAATATTAAAGTTTTGAGCTCTGAATTTAGACAGTCTTGTTGTATAGCTGCTCAACAGATTAATGAAATAAAGAAAATACGTAATCTGAAGGTATACATTAATATATTAATCTCAACTGACGTAATTATTTTGCGTAGTATGTTTATCCATATACGAATTTATTTGGATTGAAGAATCTATTAGACCAAACGATCAATCATACGTAGGTAAACTAACCAAGTTTTTCAGATGAATACATCTTTGTAAAATTGATATTATTGTACCAGAAAACCGCCACGAATTGCCTGCTGTATCACTGTTTACTAGCGAAAAGATAATATTAATGTGTTTTTTTCATTTTTAAAATTCACTGCACGGTTAAAATTACCGTTCTCGTATTTATGAAAATTCACATTTTTACGTGCATTCTAAAAATCCCGGCTATGAATACAGCTAATATACAATGAGAAACTTTGGTACCAACGGAGATTAATGGCGGTGTGGAGGATGAAGGTTTTTGGCTGTCATTTTGCTCTCGTCCCAGAAGTAGTACTCTCGTAATTTCTGATATTAGTATAATGGAGATTATTTGGACATGAAGACTAAGGACGTAATAGGAGGACGGAGAAAAGTACTAAACAAGAAGATTTATAATTTGTAATCTTTACCTAATATCATTAGGGTGATCAAATCACCTTCAGAGGTGATGGCTGTCCATTAATGCAAAACGAAAAAGAAATTACAAATGTAAAGTAATTTACTGTGACGCCGATAATTGGTATCCACGATATTTAACGGTACAAATAAGGAGCGGCAATATGGCTGGCGGTGTAGGTCACTCCTACAGGGCTTATGGTGGCATACACGTGGCTGTCAGCTGTGTCGTACGCGAAGTTTCCTCCTCCCAGGCGGTCCGACTGGATGATGGCGCTCTCGAAACTCGGAGCGCGGTCACTTAAATGCCTCTCACGACACACAGGATGGTAGTCAAGCACAACACCACAAAAAAGTCATGATAATCTGGGTTATTTGTCTAAAAACTGCAGATATTATGCAGTGGTGAATGAGATGTAAGTTTTCCATTGCCATGTTTGTAAACAATTTTTTGATGAACACGACTAAGTATCTTCGGAAAAATACGATCCATTGGGGGGGGGGGGGGGGGGGGATCGTCCCGAAAAGGGATAGACGATTAACAGGATGATAGGTAATTTTAATAGACGGATACATTTTTTTTGTTGGGGGGGGGGGAGATTGTAACCCTAGTTCCCCACTTTTGTTCTGAACACTGCGCTCCGTATACCTTAGATGTTCTTACCTCAAAGTAAGACACGCTTTTCACAACCATCCAGAACAGTGGCAAAACTGTTGTTTATGTACGCTAATCTTGATACCATGCACTGAATGTAAAACACACTTTTAGACCCACATAAAATTAAATTTGTTTCATGTATCATTACTTGGAGCCGGGATAGCTCAGTCAGTATAGTGACTACGGCCTGGGCGACTGGGCTTCGATACCCGACAGGGTCAGATGATTTTTCCATTAACCTCTGTGTCCAAACCGGCTCTGGGGCCCACCTAGCATCCTATCCAATGGGTACCGGGGTCCTTTCCAGGGGTTAAAACGCTGCCGAGGCGTGACGCTGACCACTCACCCCATCTAGTGCCGTGGTTAAGAATGAGTAGGAGCTATACCTCTTCTCCACCTCAGCGTCTAAAGGCGTGTAGCAGGACAGCTTAACTTTTTTATGTTGTCATTATCTGCATGTTGGAGATTTCGTTCTTGTCTTGCAATCTCGAGAAATATGTGCTATATGGAACAGAAGGGTGACCTTATATAAACAGCAGCTTTGGTAGCACGCGGATCTTGACCACGCCCGCTATCAAAAATCCCACTTTGACTGTAGGCCGTGACCTTCCTGTGTGACCTTGGTGTTTAAATTTCCGGGTCAGTCATCTGTTTTCCGTATGCTTTGTCTTGCGGTGGCTGGCTTGTTTCTGAAGATGTCTCCTGCCATTTAAATACCAATGAACCAGTATCTACCAAGGGTGGAGCGTTCGTGTTAGCCGTGTTAACCCGGCTAACACGTTAAAAAAATAAAATAAACTACTACTTTCGTGGTTCAGTGCTACTCCATACACTGGAACACAGGAGAACAAGTCCGATAAAATACACCATTGGCCAGCTTCTGTCTTAAAGGCGTTTTTTGACAGTGGCTTTTCGGTTCTGTGACCATAATTGAATCCATTCCATATCACAACTTAATTGACAGTAGTTTCTATGTCTGATTTGTTGTTCTCGAGGCGGTGGAAATATGGATTGTAGTCTTTTGGGTTATTGTCCCGTGAAGTGTTGTAGTTGGTTGCCAACGTTTTGGGGGAAAGCATCATTTCAGTCCGTTCCTTTAGTGGGATTGGAACCCACGATCCCAGCTTTCGAGAAATCAACACCAAAAAATGTTTTTGAATTACGAAGAGCATTTTGTTTGAAAATTAAGTCGCTTAGGCTTTATATTAGACTGATTGTAACCGAAGTAATATTTACCCAAACGCTTTTAATGCGGACAATAATAGGGAAGTGTTGACAAATCTTAGCAAAGCTCGTAAATATTAAATTTAGTGTAAATGTGTTCAACCATTCTCCAGTTACATGAAGACAGACTGATAAACAAAGGGAGCGAAACCAGATGACATTTTTGCAGCCGTTAGCCTAGTTGCGAACTCGCTAAAAACTGAATCTAAATCTGTTAGGTCGTATCGGAGATAAACCACAGGCTTCTAATGCAGAGGCTTTCGGTTTAGCTTCTTAACGCTAAGAACGTAATAGTAATGTTGAAACCACTCACTCCAATTAAGCTCTGATGTTTTGTACGACTTTTAGAGAAGAATGTTGTCAGAATCTGAACGACCTTAGTTCTGTTTTCGCTTTCGCTAACACATTAGTACATATTCGCCTTGCTGATAGTTGTTCCAAGTTATTGTATGATATTTAAACTTAATAAACTGAAAATACAGGATTCCTAGATACGCCAAGTCCAGAGAATTCATTATTCATATTATGTACATTATCAGTTGTTGACATCTTGTGGGATTTTTCTGTGAAATTTGTTATAATTACCAAGCGTTGGTTGGTTTGTTGGCTGTGTCGATAATTTATTAAAGTCGCTATTATCAGTCATTATAACTTCGATATGTCGGAGTAACTCAGTATAGTGAGCAGCCCGGGATGGACGACCGGTGTTCGATTCCCGAAGGGGACAGAGTATTTTTCCTCTAGCCACTGCGTCCAGACCGGCTCTGAAATAGAAACATGTTTACGTTCGGAGGTGCTTACTGCCTCCATCATCAGGGCCTCATCGCCCTCTTGATGGAGGAAGTAAGCACCTGTGAAACGTCTGCGAGACGACACGGCATCACATTTACTATAAAAGAAATAAACATTCAAGGGTTTTGTCTGTATATGAAACAGGGAAGTCGATATTACAGCTGGTAACCGCTTACCTTGAAACTAAACGTCATTGAACGAGTCAGATAAAGCACGCTTAGTGATCGTTGTTTGTTAGTCTTGCTGTGGCGAAGTGAATGTGTACAAAGGAAACACGAGAAAACACCATTTTCACCTGTTTCATACACCAGAAACGTAAGTAAAGATTTCGTTTTGAGTTCAGTTCATTGTTCCACGGTTAAATAAATTAGTTTCTGAGTAGTTGGACCCCAAGTAACAGCAAGAAACGATGAAAAGGAAAGTGGAAACTCGCCTACTTTTAGATAAATGGCGTAACACAAGTTACAACATGTTTCGTTACAACACTCTCGAGTAGGAGGGAGGTACGACTTTAAGATATCGTGATTCTTATAAGTTGCTCAGCCACTATCCAGTCATCTGTAAAGTTGTGTGCTGAATATTGTCCTGTGTTCGACGTGTGCAATGAAGTGAAGTTAGTTCAGTGAATCAGTAAAGCAACGAAGTTAATATGTGGCAATAAGTATCATGTATGCCGGAAATATCAAAGGTACCTTCTGGTTTGCTTTGTTTGTTGTATTGTTCTGCACTGTAAAAATATTTGAAAAAGTGAACAGAAGCTGTTAACGAAACTACGGAATGTGTTCTCGAGGGTCGTGTGTCTGGTGAGATGTTTAATGTGATGATACGTGTTTGTGCTGTGAATGTAAAACTGTTCCACATTCTTGACATCGATAATTACATAAATATTTAATGATTATATTGTTATTCTGGGTTTTGGCGCCCTTAAGACTCATCGGTAGATGACGTCTCCATCTGCAGGTTTGTAGTTTTCTTTTAATTTTGTAAGTTTACCCAGGTTTTTTTTACAGTAGGTCAAATGAACGCGTTGAAGATGAAGATATCGGGAACAAAGGAACAAAACTTATTACATAAATGACTTATTGACGTATACAGTAAATTACTATGATGAATATAGTTTTCTTAAAAACAAGATATATTTGTGTAATATATTTCTTGTTGGCACGCCATTTTTGTAAGTATAAAGTAGGATTTAATTTGAGAAATAGAAACATGTTTACGTTCGGAGGTGCTTACTGCCTCCATCATCAGGGCCTCATCGCCCTCTTGATGGAGGAAGTAAGCACCTGTGAAACGTCTGCGAGACGACACGGCATCACATTTACTATAAAAGAAATAAACATTCAAGGGTTTTGTCTGTATATGAAACAGGGAAGTCGATATTACAGCTGGTAACCGCTTACCTTGAAACTAAACGTCATTGAACGAGTCAGATAAAGCACGCTTAGTGATCGTTGTTTGTTAGTCTTGCTGTGGCGAAGTGAATGTGTACAAAGGAAACACGAGAAAACACCATTTTCACCTGTTTCATACACCAGAAACGTAAGTAAAGATTTCGTTTTGAGTTCAGTTCATTGTTCCACGGTTAAATAAATTAGTTTCTGAGTAGTTGGACCCCAAGTAACAGCAAGAAACGATGAAAAGGAAAGTGGAAACTCGCCTACTTTTAGATAAATGGCGTAACACAAGTTACAACATGTTTCGTTACAACACTCTCGAGTAGGAGGGAGGTACGACTTTAAGATATCGTGATTCTTATAAGTTGCTCAGCCACTATCCAGTCATCTGTAAAGTTGTGTGCTGAATATTGTCCTGTGTTCGACGTGTGCAATGAAGTGAAGTTAGTTCAGTGAATCAGTAAAGCAACGAAGTTAATATGTGGCAATAAGTATCATGTATGCCGGAAATATCAAAGGTACCTTCTGGTTTGCTTTGTTTGTTGTATTGTTCTGCACTGTAAAAATATTTGAAAAAGTGAACAGAAGCTGTTAACGAAACTACGGAATGTGTTCTCGAGGGTCGTGTGTCTGGTGAGATGTTTAATGTGATGATACGTGTTTGTGCTGTGAATGTAAAACTGTTCCACATTCTTGACATCGATAATTACATAAATATTTAATGATTATATTGTTATTCTGGGTTTTGGCGCCCTTAAGACTCATCGGTAGATGACGTCTCCATCTGCAGGTTTGTAGTTTTCTTTTAATTTTGTAAGTTTACCCAGGTTTTTTTTACAGTAGGTCAAATGAACGCGTTGAAGATGAAGATATCGGGAACAAAGGAACAAAACTTATTACATAAATGACTTATTGACGTATACAGTAAATTACTATGATGAATATAGTTTTCTTAAAAACAAGATATATTTGTGTAATATATTTCTTGTTGGCACGCCATTTTTGTAAGTATAAAGTAGGATTTAATTTGAGGAATATAAAAGTTTTGATATTCAATTGATACAATTTATACAGACTACAGAAGACTGGTGGCAGACGGAGGAAATAAAGTGAAAGTTTTGTGGTAACGAAAATGTGTGTATCAAATATTCAATTTCCAAATTGTTTCTGTCGCAAGGCCATGTGCTTGTCCGCCCTTGGTGCTGTTTTACGATAATACTGGTTATTCCTTGTATTTAATCATACTACGACTTAATCTGACTATAGTACAATATTATGACGTACTAATTAAAAGGACTTGCGTCAGGCAAATGCTAGAATGGTAGATACACCACTATCGCAACGTCACTTACTTATTCATATTATCATATTCCCATATAATTAAAAGCAATATAACCTTTGTAGTTGATATAACGTATTAAAGGAATCAGTCTCCTCTGTTAACCTTTTAGTTTGATTTTGTGACCTTACACAATATAGAAGTGTCTTAAATCTACGAGTCTTCGCGATTAGATTGACATAAAAATTTTGATATTTCTGCCCTGATGCGGGTTTTTCCCCTGCACTACTTGTCGGTAACGAGGTGAGAGATAAGAATTAGGATGTCGGTACCCACATCGACGATGGAGTGGGCCAATCAGGGGCGACCAACCCATCAGAAGATGAATCCCTGAGTGACCATTAATTCTATCACTAGACGATTACAATATCCAGACATAGAGAGGTAATTTATTTGGAAAGAATGGATAAGAAGGCGTAATGTTGTGATCACGATGTTTAAATAATATAGGCTAGTAGTACAGATGATTTGTTATACGGGGGTTGAGTTCGTATGAATCGCCGCGTATGACGAAAATGCGTACAACGGGAGACGTATAATAATCACTATCTTGATATCAAACTGACGGAAGAAGTCTTTGATTCAAAGCTTGTTAATAATAGATTTTAAAATTTGATCGCGGGTAAGATATTGATGATCTTCATAATACTGAAATGAAAACGCGGACAGCGAAAGCGCGTATAATAAAAGTCACCTGTATTTGTAAGTAGAGACGTGGAAACAAACACCTCGATTAAATTATTCCCTAGTCTGAGTCCGGAATTTGAACAGGATGTATCCTGAAAGCAAGTCTGACTCTTTATCAATATGTCTCCCTGCACTTTAGAGGTTTAATTGTATAAGAATTGGCCACAGAAACTGATCATTTTGGTGGTAAACATTGTTTTTGTCGTTTGTTTTCAGGTGTGTGTGTGTTCAGCAGTAGCAGTGGCGGATTCGCTAGGCTGCTGTCATGACACTTGTGATAATTTCGACATTCTCTGCATCAGTTTGGCTACTTCTGTTCTACACAGCACTTCTGATTCTCTTCAGTCCCTGTGTTCTGGTCATAATTGCCCTTCTTCCTCAACACCTGCCTATCTTGCTACTTAGAAGAATTTTCACAATTCCTATGGAATCTGTTTGACGTCACTGGATTTAATTACCAACTCCAGTATTCTATCTGCCACTGGATCTCTCTAACCAAAAGTACGTAAGAACTGTCGAGACATCGTATGATCAAATATGAGTTTGTTTACACACTTTTGGCCGCAGTTTTCGGTAATAATATTGCACGCTGTTCCCGCAAAATCAGAGTCCAAATTCGATAACCGTACAAAGCTTCCAGTAAAATGGATGTTTCGCTCGTTTTCGGACGGGATAGTACTAAGTTTTCAAACCAATCTCGGTTTATTCACTACAGACGTGCCTACATGCATTTTTCAGGTCATAAAGTGTGTGGCGATAATTACACAATATGAAACTTCGTTATATGTAGCTCACAGCGCGCGGATGGCCACACAGAACGCATGCATTCTGTAAGAAACTACTACGAAATAGCTCTCGAGAACAAGCCTATTCTCTATATTCGAGATACTCGAAACTCGAGATTATCGAATGAAAATCGAATATTCAGTCAGTTCACGACAACTGCCTGCCTCATCTACATCTTACTCTCACGTACGTAAATAAGTTTAATATAATATACAAGTTCTACTTAAGTCACCAAATGCATTCTGAATAAACTCTATGGGCAAAATTAAAAGATGCTAATAGCTAAACTAGTTGATACATATGTTTACCACTGGGCTTTAAAATGTTAATAGTTAATTTTTATGTGTTCACATTAAAGTGTTTCTAACCTAAGCTAGATTACTTTAAGTGGAAGATAGGGATTAATTATGTAACTGGGAACTCTACTTACACAGCTTACCTCGTAATGGATGACCAAAGTTATTATGACGCTTCTGGGATGAGGTAAATAATTGCGTACTTAACTTTGGTGAAGAAATCTTTTAGAAAGCTGACATTTGGAAGACATAGGTAGAGCTGGAAACTAACTCCATGGAGCATAGTCGTTCTTGAAAAGCTAATAACAGGCCTACGCTTAGCTAGTCCAAGAACTGATTTATGCAGAGGCGATAATCATAGCCTACTATTGAAATATGTCTTCGAACACGGGTTATGAGGATGTAATCTGAATGTTACTAGCTCTGGATAGTGTGTGTTATATTACGTTGTTAATACTAGACGCAGAAGAGAAAGCTTAGTCGTCTGCATGCCTTAGAACTGAAAGTACAGTCATTGACCTTGAACTGAATAGTAAGAAAAATAATTGCGTAAAGACTGAAATGTATTATATGAGATTTGATGTTCTCTTTGCAGTGATGATGTCGATGTTTGCCGTCTAGGTTGTAATTTCTCGTGAACTTGTAGGTAAATACAAACGTTTCGGAGTAACGTACTGCTTCCATCTTCAGTGTTCAGTGATATTTGAACATTACTCGTGATTGCATAAAATAGCTAAAAGATCCTATATTTTGGACTACGTGTCAGAATACAGTAGTTGAACTACTGAATTGGCATGGCCGATCGAACGAAATAGATTAATCTATTTGTATGTAAGTCTCCGCTTGAGAATCAAGGTTAAGTAGGTTGTTGTATCGAGGTTTTCTTTGAAAGAGGAGGGGCTACAATTGTGTTGCTATAGTTGCGATGTTAGTGAAGGGGAGTAAAGACTGAGATCTGAACGACTTAACGTACATAAATGCCCTGTGAGGTGAGACACGGAGAAGCAGGCTTGGCAATGTGTATATAAAGAACCGCCCAGTTTGCAGAGTGCCATTAGCTCTTTGTTACCATCGTGACTGGCTGGAATTGTGGAGTCTGACAGAGATGAAGGTAAGGTACAGCGTCTAGAGTCTGCATGCATAACCAATACCTTGCACAGTTCTGCTGCTTACGATCTGGTTAACGAATTATTTCGGTACACGTCAAATATTCGCAGGAATTCGCCCTGTTCTATTATTATTTATAATATAAATACCCAAAAAGCATCGTTTGTTTCTAGTACAAAAAAAATGTCTGGATCATAGGCATTTGCCAGTTATTTCAGGGATATCAAAGGAAAGATTTTGGCACGGGACATTTTGGTTTCAAAATTAGTTTGAAGTCCACTTTAACAGAAGTTCTCTAAAAAATGTAATTTCACTGTTGTCGTGTTTCAGTTTGCGTAGTTTAAGAAAAAGTTATATGGTTCGCTTCACAGAAGGGAAAATGTTTTGTTAAAATGCTGCACCAATTAAAATAAGCTACTAAGACGAGTCATGTAAATTATATTTAAAAATTCAATCCGTACCGCGTAGAAAACACTTCACCTTAGCATTGCAGAGATCAATTGGTTAATGCTGTTTACCCTGAGAATCATACAAAAATCATAGTTCTTGTTCATAAGAGTTCTTGATTATTAAATCGGGTGGATCATTTGGTTACCACTGTAATTTAAAGGGTTAAAGTGGTTATCTAGAAAAAAGACACGAGACCCAATAGGAATGGTTACATATTTTATATTATGTGGAGTGTAATGTGATATTATAGATTGATATGTGAATGAGGTAAGGCGAGTAATTGTTTGCAGTTCGAGGCGAAGACTTCCATTTCCCTATATTTTTTTACGACGATCTTCAGTGCTGAAGATAGAGGCAGTGTGTTTCTCTAAATGATGTTATCTACCTACGGTCCTACACGGCTTCATAACCCAATTCCAACATCCTCACTACAGTACTACACTCCTTCCTTACACGTATTCATGACGCAGTGCAAATTTAAGCATGAGGGCCAATCTCAACTTTACATTTCTAATCCGTTGTTGTTGGCTGCCGCCTATCACGCTTAGTTCTACCTGCAGGATCACAGTTTTATAGGTCTGCATCCCGTTGACCTTGCTCCGTTATTCTAAATCAAAGAACTGTTATAATGTTACGTAAGAAACTCATAAAATAGCATCTTGACCGTCACTGCCCACATATGGACTGGTGCAGTGGTAACAAGACTGGTTCTGAAACACAGCTGATGTTTTCCTGCCCCTCCCTCATTAGTATTTTAGCATAAAAGCAACGGTCATATTCTGCCAGAAAATCCAGTTAGTTAATTCAGTTTGTCATTCGATTCCACGTAATCTTGACACCAAACGTCGAGATAAGTATTGTTAGTTACAAATTCTCTGTATTTTTGAAGTCTCGTGTTTAAATAGCGAATAGGGTACAGAGTGACCTTAGGTTTTGTCTGATTTTCTCCTCTGTCTCCTGACTGCTGGTCTTTTAGCTATCCATATTAGGATCTTCTTATGTGTCTTGTGCCACTGCATAACCTCAGTAATAGATTTTGTGCTCCTGATTGTGTTTTAGAGGTCCTGAAATAGTAAATTAAATTAGGCCATGACCACTTCCTTCCATATTCTTTCTGAATCATTCTTTCCTAAATCATCCCATCATCTGACTGTACCTGAGCTGCTGACAGCATCGTAAAATAAACTACAAATAAATAAACTATATCTTGAGCAGTCAGAACCTCTTGTTGCTACATTCTGACTAGATTCATCATTCAGAATCATTTTATTACATCTTACAGTATCATCATCATAAAATAAATGGATAGTCAGCAAACTAACATTACACACTTTTGTGTGCAGCTGTCAACTGTCCTGGCATGCATCACGGTGACATTGCTGGCTGACATCGCGACGGCAGGGCTCCTCAAAGTACCAAAAGTCTACAATGCTCTCATTACTACCAATGAGAAGTTGGTTCCTAGCAGAGCAATTCCAGTTTCCACTTCAGTGTTTCATCCTGTTGCATTGGCTCCCGCAGTTCCAGCCGTATTTCTGACGAGCCCTTACGTCGCCATCGATGACTCTGAAGCTAAAGCCAACAAGTCGGAGACTGAAGATAATACTGAAAATGAAAGCGATAAGAAACCGGAAGGTGAAAAGAATGCCACATCAAATTCCTTACCTTTAATCACACCATTTTCTCTTCCATTAGCATATTACAATTCTATTACTTATTATCATAACCTTTGGCCTTATTCCTATTCATCAGTGTCACCTTCTGCATTTTTATTTACTGCGCCATTTGCATATCCTGGAATATTTGATTTAAATGGAGGTCTGCAGTGGAGTCAAATCAAGAAACCGGAATCTGATCCAGCTTTGTCTAAAGACTCAGCATCTACTCTTCCTTCTGGAGCCAAAGATGATCCAGAAAAGGCATCGGTGTCCACTGATGCCAGCTAATTGCAAATACATCGTCAGTATCGAAACATAATCAGCGCAAATCTAAAATTGTAATGGTCTTCGATTCTGTGAATTTTGTGTTTTAGTAGTTGCTGTTTGAAATGATTGATTTCCCCTTTCTTTTCTCACATTTTACTGATGTACTGACGCTGACCACTCACTCCATCTAGTGCCGAGGTCAAGAAGGAGTAGGAGCTATACCTCCTCTCCCCCCAAGCGCCTGCATGGCGTGTAGTGGGGCAGATTTACTTTTACTTTACTTTACAATATTCAAGATATCGTCTCACATTTGTAGCAATTTTACTTCAAGTAGAATTTTTTTAAGTGAGAGGGAATTCTGAACATTTCATTACATGCTGAATATTTCAATAAATTTTGAATAAATTAGATAAAAGTCAGGTAAGAAAATTACTGTGCTCGCAGGTTTATGGCAATTTATAACAGGAGAACAGGTTCAAATCCCACTCGTGTCATGGACGCGCGTCTGCATTTTTCTGTTTTATTCTGTGTAGTAATAGGTTATGTGAACGACAAATTTAAATTTATCTATTTATAAAAATCAACAAAGTGAACCTTAAATGCCATAAATGAAAACCATGTTATATAGAAATGGACTTGGTGAATTAAGGAATAAGATACAATGTTTGATGCATGGCATGATTTATCTAATCAGATTTTATGGCACAACGGGGAACGACCCGTTCTTTAAGTGCCTGAGCACCGGGTCCCAACTTTTCGTTGGCTCGATCTATAGACATTTTGGTAGGACTCCTTGGACGAGGGATCGGCCCGTCGCAAGGCCTCTACCTGTACACACGTCAGCACAACACAAAAAAACGCTGACAAACATCCAAGGCTTGAGTGGGATTCGAACCCACGGTCCCAGCGGCACAAGGCCCACGCCTCAGACAGCGTGGCCACTGCGGACCCCGATTTTATGGTATTCCTCATGTAAAAAAAATAAAGACTCATTTTGTTGTGTATATTTTAATAGATAATGTGTGTATAGACACAGAATATTGTTATCTTTATGTCAAAACTTCTAGATTTTATACCTGAAGTTATTCCGAGTCAGAAATGTCATTTGAACGAGTCAAAATCTTAGAGGTTATGGAGCTATGGATAGAAATTCAAGATGAACAGATATAATTACAGATTTTCGTCAAGCATAATGAGGAATCCCCATATTTCAGTAGACAGATGACAGAATGGATCATTGGGGTCACTGAATTTCACTGATGTAGATTTCCATTTACGGGGTTGCATGACAGACGATAGGAACAACTTTATTGAATTTCTTATGCTGAAAGATGTTCTACATAAAGTTTAGATCATGTGGAATTTCAAATATCCATTAATGAGAATCAGACCTGCATACACGTGCAATTTCTGACTGGAACGACCTCAGGAATTTGGTCCTGAAGTACTGACCCTAGTCTTCGGACATTCTTCGTATGTTACGCGCTGGACGAGTAGGAACAACAAGGATTTTACAGGTAAACTATCAATTATAACTCTGAAATATTTGTAAACGTTTATGAGATTACATGTCGCAACATCCCAGAAGACGGTATATTCATAGGAAACACCATAAGAACCTGAGATATCACCATTACTCTCTGTACGTCTTAATTCTATGAAAGTGATTGTCTGTGTATAATGGAGCATGGGGCTTGCATTTTATTAAATAATAGTTATAGATTTACAAAATACAAAGTAAAAAGCAAAGCTGTCCCACTATACGCCATGTTGCCTCAAACATCGTGTTGCAGTGAGAGCTTACCATCGCAGATAGGGAAGTGGATTGATTTTAATGTAATTTTTAAACATTATTACAGCTTTCATAAACCAAAAAAACTTACAAGTAATTTTAAACAATGAGAAGTACAGTGAGGATTTGTCCGGAGTACAGCCATTAGGAGCGTCGTCTTCAAATGTGTAATTTGTTTATGATCCAGCTGTATTTATGGTGTAATGCAATGAACTTTTTTTATCCGAGTAATCAAGAATATGTAATATTTATAAATTACTAGCTTCTTGAGTAAGAAAAATATTTTAATGATATAATAATATTAAAATTTGATTTAATTCCCTTTTTCCTGCTTCTGTTGTAATTCGGAAAAAAACACTAAGACAGATCAACGTGTTTTTGTAGTGTAAGATTATGTCACGACAAATAAATAAATAAATGCCTTAAACGCAGAATCTGAAAAGGGTTTTGACGTAGAGGAGACATTTCACAGAGGATACAAATAAAATATTTCGGTGGTACAGATATAAAAAATGACCGACTTGGATTATTTCACTGGGAAATCAAAATGATAATACCTATAAGGAATTTATAAAACTTGTATTGTCAACTAGAATGTTGAATCATCTTGTGCGTCCTTCATTATTTTGTGTTGACTAATAATAAATTATAGTAAATTATCGTACAGTTATAAGTGAATGATCAGAGGTTAGAGGTCAGAAGTGACGACCTTCCGCCTAATGTAGCGAGAAAAATAATCTGGCCTCCAGCACTTGCAACTCCCAGGGATGAGGAACCAATCGTAGTACAGACGCACCTGAAATAATAAACAAATATTAAAATATATTGTAGTTTTTAATATTACTTGACTCCAAATGATAAATTTTGGTTGTAGAGGCTGCTTTTGAGACATATGCAAAGACAGAGAATAATATTAAAATGAACTTTGAAATATAGCTTGTGAGCTTGATTAAACTGGCTCAGAATAAAATTTTATGGCCAGTTAAATTACTTTCAGCTGCTCATAGTAGATGCTGTATCATGGAGGTAGTTAATTGAAATATATCCTACCTGAAAGCAACCTAAGTCATCGATGCCGTCGCACTGGGAATTGTTTTTGGTTGGTGTCTGAGTCGTTACACTCGGACTCTCTGTCGATACTGGTGCTTGGACACCTGCTCTTTTTCGCAAGTACTGTTGATAATTCTGGAAATCGTGTACTGGAGGTGGATTTTCTCCAGCGACAGGATTTCTATGTGACGGCCACCTTCCTCCTGGTGCAGCTGGCAGGAAAGTATCTGGGTAATAAATTTCCGCAACAAGCAGGCTTGTCCATCTTGGTGATGAAAGGCAACCACCATCCAGGTAGTGACAGCGAGATTGTCTTTGGCAGAAAATAATTTATTGTAGTTGATACATTGTATGAGCTCTCACAGCATTGCTAAATAAACCATAAATAAATAAATTTTCGTGTCATAATTCTTCTGGTATCGGCATTTCACAGGATTTGATAATTATTAACCTTTATATTTCAATTTGTTTTAATTAACTTACGTTTCTGTTATATTCAGTGGAATTTTAAATATTCATGTTTTTTTTATAATTTACCTTAAACATTTGACTAATTGAGGTTTAGAATGTATGTGGTGATGTGTTTAATTAAGCAAAATTATAACGTTATTATTTTCACAGAGAATCTCATTAACATTAATGACCTACGACATTTTTGTACTCACAGACATCTGGTGACTTCTACAGTCTGAGTGAAATATCCTTCGTATGGGATCTGCACTACGTAGCGCCATACACCCTGGTAGTTCTTGGCAAAAACAGGAGTTGCATAGTCCACTTTGGCAGGACAGGGTGTCGGAGGCAGAGAAGGTTCGTGGTGTGCACCTACTGTAGCCACGGAGGCACCCTCTCCCCTGCGATACTCCGGGGTTTCTCCGCCAAAATCATCTCTACGCTCAACCATTCCGGAGGCCAGAGGTTCTCCGTTGAATGCTCTGTACAGCATGCACAGCCTGGCACCAAACGATTACTTCAAATCAAAGGTACTTAAATTTAAATTCACTTGAGTTGTTTGCTCGGAGATAAATATATAGTTTGTCGACTACGCAACGCTGAGTAATTCAAAGCTGTTTTAAACTGATGATGAAGCAATAGAAATTTATTATTATAACTAAGCTCAGCATCACTTAAAATATAACCATAACAAGTTTATAAAATTAAATTTGTGATTAAGTCATCAACGGGTACTTGCGTATTAACGGCTAACCCAAACATGACGTCAAGAAAATCTCTGTATCGATGGTGTGCATCGATAGGAACATTCTGCTTTATATTATTCTGGCGTTGGTTATCGTAGCTAAAGATTGTTTATCTTATTATTTTAATGCGAGTTAAAGAGATATTATCTTGAAGATTTCTGTCTTCTGGGTTGTTGCGCTGTGTAGTCTGGTCGATGTTAACCAACGTTTCAGAGGTCATACTGCCTCCGTCATCAGGGCAACAACCCAGAAGACAGAAATCTTCATACTCTCCGCTGTGAAAACCTCAAATCTTACGTATGACAGTCATGTTACATTGGATTCCTTAAAAGGCAGGGAATTTCTGTACAAGGTAAGTGACTATCAGCTTTGCAAGACATACTCAAAAATCTGTTCGGGGATATAACATGTGGCTGGACTAATGAATATCCATGCAATAGACATGTGACGACATATTCAACTTACACTCCTCCTCCGTTATCACAGAATTTCCTGGCTTCCCGTTTGATGGCGCTGACAATCGTCTTGTCTTCCGTCTGTCTTCGGCTTTCTTCGGTTCCGTTAGCTTCGGGCGCCTTTGTGTCTCTTCTAGTGCGGTGTCTGTGATCTGGTGCTATCCTAAACAAACCACCATCAGAACGACAATTATATGATTAGGAATGTTTAAAAAATATAGAATAACAAAGTATGACAGATCATAATCAAAGTGCTAAGAATATTTATGTGAAGTACCATTAATATTGCTGATATGATTAAATCATTAAAGATGGATAAGACACTTACCAAGCATAGGAGAAAAAATAAATTCGAGAAAAATTGTTTCAAAATCTTGTGGAGCAGTTTGAATAACGTTATGTAAGAGCAGGGAATTTGTTGACCAGCTGAGTAACTTCAAGGTAGATCGATACGTACGAGTTATGTGCGAGGGAACCGGTACTCCATTGGGCTGGGTCCTGGTGATACTTGGCGACTCTGGGCAGAGTCTCGTCAGCTTTCAGGATGGGGAGTGTCTTACTGAAGAACTCGAGAGTCTTGTTGCGTACTAACTCGCTGCCAACAGAAATAACAACTTTGTATGTATTACATTCATTTTTATGTTTACATCATATTGTTTATTGCCATTTGACACGCAGAAATACCATTCTTTTGAGAATGGAAATTATTTAATTGCATTAAATGTTTTGGAAAATATTAAACCTTCTGTGTTAGTGCCTAGAATACACTTACGATCTGTGTCTGACAACGTATGAAATATTTTCCAAAATTCCCCAATTCATTGGTGGATGTTAACGCGTCTGTTTCATATTGAGAAGATCGCAGATTCAAATTTTGACGAGACCAGCTACCTGACTGAAATTTTTCATGGTTTTCCTAAGTCCCTCCAGGCAGATGCCAGGATAGTACCTTAAATTACGTCATTACTGCTTCCTTCCAAATCCTTTCTAATTCATTATATCGAATTAATCTAATGTTACTTAGCTTGAGATATTAAGATTCTCATTTAATAAACCACAAACCATGACCTGGTTCAGAAATGCTGTTTTATGCTACCGTAGAGTGACTTACAATGGATAGGCTGCCCCCAGCACTTTCTGTCCCATGGGGTTCGGTGGGATGACACCTTTGTTCAGGTCTCCACACAGGTTGAAGAGGGAATCAGGTTGGCTGTAGCTGTGCGTCCCTGGGCAAAGTAGAAAATGGAATTAAGAACTTCTTTTGACACTCGGTATCTAATGTATATTGGTCGTGAGTCGAATGGAAATATGTTGAAAGAAATTAAGTTTCCTTCAGTAACCGGCAATATTTTGACCTATGTAGTATTTCAGTATCGCTCATTAAGTTTCATGCTTGTAGTTTATATTGAAAAAACTGAATTTTACGAGCATAAATTAAATTTTATCAGTTAAGAAGGGATGAAAAGTGAAGTCTATTTTCGAGCTTTATTTGCGATTTTTAAATTTTGATTTGTCCTTGTTTATTTACTGTAGGTACAAATTTATCACTTTCACAAATAATTAACATTTTTCGAATTACAATTATAAATTCCTGTGCAATGCGTAGCCTTCGCCAAATAAAAAACAAGTCGTGGATCTTCATGATATGGTGTGGCCATAAAGTAATTGCACTCAGTAACGTGGGTCAGATTGAAATGGTCGATTTCAAGCAAATATATAACATATAGCATCAAACAAGCATTTTTTAAGATGAGAAATTTAATAATTTTTGACTTCAACTTCATGTGATGTACAGTTTAGTTAACAGTTTAGTTGACCAAAATTAAATTTAATTGAAAACGTGTGTCATATGTTAACTCTAATATGGATAGACATGAATTAATTAATGGACAGACAGACAGCCACTTGTTCTCAATTATTGGTTGCCATTAAACAGTAAGAGTATTTGTAAGACATGAGCGTGGACCACGCACAAACCTGGACACTCCTTGTCTGACTGTTGATAAGGTGGACGCCTGACTCTAGGTGGTTCTGCATTCGGAGATTCAACAAAAGCGTAGTAACCTTCAGGTGGTTCCTGTACCACTTCTGGGCTTTGGGGGATTTTTATACCGGAACACATGACCGTCGTCGAACACGCCACACAAATCTGTAAAAAATGCGAGACGGAGCACGCGGCCATGTAGCTTTACAGTTTTGATAATTTAGAGGCTATAATAATACTAATAATAACAACAACAGACAATATGGTGGTGATGACGATGATAAAAATAATAATAAAGACCATATTCGTGGTAATAAATTATTATAATAATTCAGTTCTTTATTTACGTGCTGACTTAACAGCACAAAACTCGAGTACAAGTTTAAAAAAGAGAAGTAGTGGACAAAATAAATATACACAAACAAACAAAAGACGGCAATAATTCAATAATTATAACAGACCAAGTGACGTAGTTTCTGACCGCTAGATGAAGATTATGATTATTTATACAGAAGCCCTGTATCTATGAAGTGGTAATAAAAATAATACCAATAACATTGGTGGTAATATGATACAAAGACAAATAATGTAAAGCAAAGGTAAAGTTTAAGTTTTCTCTGGTACGTATGAAGTACCACGTCTTAAGGACGGTAGGGTAATGGAGTTATAGCTCCACATATTTTGAACCGCGGCACAAGATCGAGTTGAACGGTCATCTTCGCATTCCGGTCGCTTTATCTCCGAAGAAAGAACCCCTTGTGTCTATTGGATAGAAGGCTGATGCCTCGGAGACGGTCTGGAAACGGAAGCTAAAAAAAAAGAAATCTGCTCCTGCCGAGAATCGAACCGCGGCCGTCCATCTCGTAGTCAATGTCAAAAATTGATCTCTTCCGGTTTCACTACTGCATAAAACAGATGTATACCCTACATTTGTGGAACATTAAACATATTAATATTAATCATAATTAATTTCGTGTATTAAAGTGATTGACAACAGCAGACCAGTAACAGTAAGCTAATTTCAGAAAAGCGAATGACACCAAAAAACAATGTGGCTCAAATTTTAACCAGAATTATCTGTGATTATGATAATTCCTTAGTAGTAGTTTTGTGTGATAGCAAAGTGTAATTGCTCTTCGTATTGCCGACATTTTGGGGAGTATTTTACTGGTTCCGTCTTCAAGACCAATGACAAGTCATTTCACATGAAATGTCGGAACTACAGCCTATACGAGGTGACAGGCTGACAAAGAAAGATTTCCAGGGATGCTTCCAGGCTTGGCAGCGGCGCTGGGATCGTTGTGTTCACTCCCAGGGGAACTACTTCGAGGGTGATGGATGAATTTAATACCTGAGATAAATGTACGGGTTTTTATACGCGCAGTCTGGAAACCTTCCGATCGCACCTCGTATATGCAAGACGCCATTACACAATCCTGAAATCTTCTACTCGCTTTACTTACTAAAATCTGTGGAGATGACCAATAGTAGAATATAGAACTAACAGTAAAGAACCATTATTATTTACCGTTAGTAGAAATTGCTAATTGGATTATTGTGTTGCACCTGGCTGAAGCAGTAATTGTATTGCATGACTTTCAGTAAAAGAAAGAATTAGACGTCGTTGCATATATTTGCACACATTTTGAAATCGTTTAGCTAAGACCGTGTTTCTAAACCTTCGCAAGTGTGCCATGACATTTCGAGTTCAAATGTATTTATTTCTTCAGTTTAACAATAGTCAAGAAAGTGTGGTAATAACAGTGCCTTCTTGTTCGACCTTGTTTTGTCATGTAATCGGTCTGTGCAACTGACTGTCCAGTTGTGCCTGTTTTTGACACTTTTAATGTATTTTTTCGTAGTTCCAAATGTTCTCCTCGGCACTCTGGAGAAAACTTCACTATAGGCAGCTTTGTTCACCAAAGCTGGCCACTTACTGGAATCTAGGTCCGAGGTTACCTCAACTCTCAATACGTCTTCTTGGCGTGGTACTTAAATAGTCACTAGGAATGCCTTTGAAGTTATACATACATCTCATTGGAATTCGGAGTTCGTAGATGTGAAAGTAAGCAGTGATTTTCATATTACAATAGATGCGCAGTGTTAAAATAGGTCTTCTTGTCGAAGTTAAACGCGACTCATTCAATAACTGCATCCGGTCTCTCGTATGCTCCGAACAGTTTAGCGATTAGATTGAATGGACGCATTAATTTGCTTACTTTGCGTTAAGGTGGGTTTACATCTGGATTAATTTATAAAAATATGTTTCCCCGTTTATATCACCACAAATCTAAGTTGCCCATGAGGCATTATTCGGAGATACTAAAAATCTAAATTGACTCCAAATACTGTTCTATATGTCTTCCATTTCATTTTCAACTACATAGGCCATGAAATCTTAAACTTTTAAGCGATCTTCGTTACGATAAAATGAACAGTTAAACGTCATCTTTGTGAAGGATTTTGGTTCTGTGATCTCCGAAAATGAAGTAGATTCACTAACCACTGCGCTAATACATATAAAATCATACATTAAAACAAAACTGTTTACACTTAAAAATACACTTAGTGCCAAACGCGTTTCGACCTCAAGAGGTCATCATCAGTGGCAGACAAATATGTATTTTCAAGTGTAAACAGTTTTGTTTGAATTTATGATTTTATATGTCAATACACTGCATGGTATGCATAGTTTCAAGAATGAACTATTACATTCTTCATAAACAGAATCTCGGGTTACTTAGCATTCGTTCGTTGACTTAAGTGGTTATGATTATTCTGCTTTCAATTTTATATTTCGTCATAACTGGTACATTACTGTTACTTTCAAGTCCGTCTGTGGACTCGTAAGTTCTAGTAGAAATGTATTTTTTTTTTCCTGGTTGTAATTTCAACCGAAACAGAACAAATGTCCACGGTCACATCCATGCCGTGGGCTATAGGTTGAAGTGCCCTGGATTGTAAAGAATTTCTATACAGTTTAATTTATTCGTGGGATTCATCTCTGTGGAATGTGTATTGAGTAGGTGCGTCACCTTATCCGTCAATACATTTCCTCAGATGCTTCCCTGTACGCTTGGGGTCAGTAGGACCCGTTACAGGTTTTCCATCGTAACGGTACTTCTCAGGACGGACTGATTGTTCGTTTCCCTCCACTCAGAGGCGGTTCGTCTATGAAACCACAAATGACGACGTTCTCCTGAAGAAAACATTTAACCCTTTCAAGTCATAGATCGTCTATAGCAGTGGTATTCAACCTTTTTTGTTCGCGTACCCCCAGATATAATTTCTCTTTAACTTTGTACCCCCAAAATTGTTGGTGTATAATTCAAGTTATACATAGTATATAATCTACATCTAAAATAAATTAAATAAATTACATTACTGATTATTCAGTGTTTATCATAAAACAATATATATTTTTTAAATTTCACATACACCCTAATATGTCTTCATATACCCCAGGTTGAATACCACTGCTTTAGACTAGTGCAGAGGTTCCCAAAGTGTGAAGCGCGCACCCCTGGGGGGGGGGGGAAAGATCAGTTGCTTAACTCTGTTTACGGAAATAATTGCTGTTTGAACTGAGAATGAAACATATTAAACCTACAAACAGCTGGTACAAGAATTTAGTCATTCTGCTACAACATTCGCTATTTTATACTACATTTACTTCTGATACAGCTTCAGATGTCATATTTATAACTCGTCTGTAATTTTTTTCTTTAGAAAAGGATTTTTTAACGACCTACGCTGATCCACACTAAAACTTAGACGTGACGCCTATCACAGAGGGCAGTCAACCCGTCTATGCGATGTCTTACAGCAAGTGCAATCCAGTTTGTCCTCAAAGCTACAACCTACTTTATCTCTCTCAAAAGTTTCCAGTCACCTGTCATCCGACTGTCGGTTTTCAATATGCGAAACATAGGCATCATGAAAGCCAGGCTTGCGAAAATTATTTAAAAATACAAATGTGAGGTTATTGTTCACTGTATAAAGTAGCACACTTATGTACTTCAATTCTTACTGAATTGTTTTAATTCATAAATTATTTCTAATCTTTTTAGACACTGATATTATTGGACGATGGATGGTCTGTCTCATTGTGTCCATGCATCGAGCGGGATTTGAACCCACGAGCGGCCAAGACCCACGCGAGGTCACAGACAATTATTTGTACTTATTATCACAGGCAGTTGTACTAACTGGTGTACATATTTTCCAGCTTGTTATTTGTGATTTTGCATACCACAGTAGTATTATGTCCATTAATGATGACGCACGTGTTTCATTGCAAATCTCCTTCCGGGCTTGTTCAAAAGGAATTTAGTTGAATTTGCGATCAAATAATGTGCTTTAAAACCTGGTGAAATTGTGAACGAAATTCATGGCTACACTCATTCATGTTTCAACAGTGACCATCTTCCTTTCGAAGCCTTTCACACTGTACAGAAACAAGTCATTAATCATTTTCTTTGTTTTGGGAACCAGTAGTTTAACTTCTCGGCCAATAAGCCATTAAGTTCGATGTCTGGCAATGTGACTCGTTTAGGGCTCCTTCCACCTGTTTATATAGACCGGTAGCTTTGCGCGCAGTGAATAAATGACACAATTGGGTGGCCCTAGTTCAATGTACTTTTGGCCCAACGCCATGACGAACTGTATATTTGTGTATATAGTAGGCTTATACGTTTTTATTGACGCGTGATGAAGCAATGACGCAATTTTCATTTCGTCTAGAAAACAAATCCATTCCGAAGTTATAACAGAACGTCGAGGCTAAGTGGTTAGTATTCTTATTTCATATTTGGGACGTTTCTGGTTCAGATCTCTACCTCGAATACCGGATATCTTGACTGAAATGTTTTGTGGTTTTCCTCAGTCTCTCGAAGCAAATACTGGGATAGTGTTGCAGATTGTGCTGCCATTAGAGGTCTATGAATTACAGCGTCAAAATGAAACAATATGAGGGGACTTTCTGGCGGAATAAATTTCACTGAAGAAAGCTTTCCACCGATTGACATTCATCGGCAAATGAAAGTTATTTGTGAGGACGACTTTGTGGACATTATATTGTCCGACGTGCACATGTCAGTGATGCAAACATCGGACACGCCAGAATGAATAACAATTAGCATAGCGAGAGACTGCGAATAGTAAGTCAGCTGCCTCGGTCTTAAGACGCAACACACAAGTTCTGTGGAAATAATCCTAAATCGACTAAGATCGCTCTCTTCCAAATATTTACCACTCTGTGGTTCTTTATCATTCACCGATCAACTCTTAGATAAATTTTACTGTTTAAAAAGCATCGTGAATAAACTTTAAACGACGTGTGCATTTTTCTGCTGTTTCATAAAATTACTTTGTGTGATCGGGACTAAAACTAAAGAAGACACAGTCACTTCTGTTAAGATATTTATTATTTAGCAATTAATTTTAAGAGGTATTGAGAGGGAATCCTTATATTTATAATAAACCAATGTCCTTTCTGTTACCGTAACTCAATCCGACGAAAACTTCCACACAAACGAAATATTATAACCCAGTAACTAAATCACATCTTACTGCTGCTGGTTTAAAAACTATCATTAACTAAATATAACACACAATTTCTTTGAGCCTGTTGTAGGAAAATGGGTTTTATGTGTTCTGTCTGAAACTCGTACCGATAAAATTTCACAAAAAAAATTGTAATGAGCGGTCTAACGTTTACATACTACTGAATGAAGTCTAATGTTTATTAACTACATTAAAAAAATACACACCAATTCTCTGTATCATAAAGTTAATATTTCCTTCCCAATATTATACACCTACCATTACAACAACGAAATCCATTAATTTTGAAGGTGGTAGCTTAGATCTTGAAGACGACCGATGTATCACATTACCAGACCCCATATCACCACACTTCGGTTCTCACAGGTGTTCACCGTGCACCACACTGATGATACCGCTGCCAACTTCGGACTGAATCCGGGCCACTGCATCACCTTACCAAGTCAGCTAAGTTCTTCACATACCTAGCCGTCGTCGGACGCTTCCTTCTTGCGCTGGACGATCCAAAATATGCAGGAAGTCGAAACGAAATAAATGGGAAGTTTTAATAAATCGCATAACACACACGACTTTTAATTTTTTTAAAAAATTCTATACTATATCATTTATATATTATAACGTGTAAACACTCATTATACCGTAGGTTTGTTCATATGGGGGCTAAGTTACAGGCCGGAGAATATATTTCGATTCCCAGCGAGGATAGATATTTTTCTCTTAACTACCCAGTCCAGACCGACCCACCCAATGAATACCAGTGGCTCTTTCCCAGGGGTAAAGTGACTGGAAAGTGAAGCTGGCCAATCGTTTCTAACTTGTGCCCAGGACACCATAGTACTTCGTGACGTAGTGCTTTAAGTCTAATTAAGCACCAGAGTACTTTACCTTTAACGGCCAGTCGTAAAGTAAATTATATACATTATAATCCTTATATGAATTTGAATAATCGATTATATCCTGAAATAACATGGGCCATATAATTAATTAAAATCCAGGATTACATCAGTTTTAATTTATTTGCTTTCACGGCTGTGAGAATAATGATTATGATCTGGGTTTTATGTCAAAATTTCTTCAGCCTGAGGACGGAGAGAGTATGTTTTACCGTAACGTTGGCATCTAACGAGTCTAAACGGCGCCAAAAGACCAGAACATCAAATCCATTTTCGTTCAAAGTTGGCATCCTTGTCTATACACATATTCTCTCGCAAAGGTGATGAATGCTCTCTTGGCAGGATGTACTAAAGTACATGACATCACGGCGACCACATGATTAGACATCAATGCGATAAGAGAGATCTGTGCTATCAATTGAGAGTATATTATCGCTTTAGTTACCGTGGAGAGAAAAATGTTTGCTGTTGTAGTGATGAGGTTGGCAGTGTGGCCTAAAGTACCATTAATATTTGTGATGTTGGTATAACCTGTGGTAGAAGGAGAGTTTTGTGGTTTGGTGGTTAGGGAAGCAGTGGTTGCGAATGTGAAGAGTGCCTTTGACATATGTCATTATGGCAGACAACAAGCAGAATGTTAGATATGTGTATCATTTACCATATTTTGAGCGCAGAGAGCTTTGTCGAATATTAGACCGGATGGATAAATGGGAGGAACTAGGTAAAAAATATTTTGATGTTTTTTTAGACTTTTTTGGTGTCATTTTTGTAGACCTTTGGAATAAGTACTGAAGGCAACATTTCACATTTGGTCGTTACATTTATACTACTTTCAGTACTTGACAATTACAACAACTCATTCACTTTAGTCCAAACTCCATATTCAAATCTACCTTTTCTCACTTGGAGTTATTGTATGTAACAGGTTCCTGTGTACTGAATTGTACCTTCTCATGTGTTTGTCTGCTATGAATCACATAACAGATGAATAGGCTTAGGCTTATGAAGGATCTATGGAGTGTAAATAAATTCAATTCTATTCTAGTGTTTTACCAGTTTGAACTGAGTAAAAACAAGCATTTAGTATATTACTCTTAATTTAATTATAGCCCTAAGGTTTGTTCATGTTATTTCAGGGGGCATACACATGAAGTTTGACATGATGACAATTCAGGATCTGCGTAGAGAGGTTCTGAGAGGCAATTCCCCATCTGATGAACTTCTGACTCTATGGGGACATCAAAATCATACTGTTTTGGAGTTATTTGTGCTGCTTTCAGAGATGCAGCACTATCAGGCTATGCTTGTTTTGAAACCCTTTGGTGAGAGTGATTCTTTAGTACAGTTTACTGCATGGCTTAACATCCCAGAATATAGCCATCTTCATACTCATTATCATAAAAACCTGAATTAAAGTACATTATCTGGTCATGATTTCAGTTTAATAAACATCCCAAAAGTGAAAAGTGTAATGTGGTTTGTGATATAATGAATATTCTGTCATATATCGATAGGTTACTCTTGATCTCAGCTGACCATTGGTTTTGTTACTTTCAGTTGATCCATATTATCATCGATTTATTTATGAAGGCGAAGAAATGTTGAGGCCATTATCTAAAGGCAGCCAATTACTGGGTGCAGAGAGTAAAGTATCTTCAGAAACAAACGAAGCAGCTGTCGGAGGAGAGGAGGCACGAGTTGCAGTTAACAGTGAAGCATCAAGTTCAAATGTGCCATCAGGGAACAAGAACCTGGACATTAGTCGCCATAACTTGAATTTAACTGAATCAACTGACTACGCTCATAGCAAACTCAGCTTTCTCCCAGAACAGCCAGAAAGAAAAATCCTCAATACGATGAGGCTCTCACCAGCTCGTATTCCAGAAGCCGGTAGTGAGATGGCAAGAATTCCCAGGCCTCTTGCCGGAGTCACCCTACCTACGTCTCAAGACGGAGCTTGCAGATTTCCACCAGATAACAAGGAAAATAATGCTCCCGGATATAATCAGCATAGAAAGCTATCAAGTAATTAACACAGATTAATTCTGAACAACAAACATTTCTGATGAACTGAGGTTTTAGTCATTTTGTGAATTTCTCTTACGCAGATGCATCGGATGTGTCATCAGTGACTGAAAACTGTGGTGCAATGCCACACATTGATTACCAAGAACTGCTAGAAGCAACTCAGGGTTGGGCAAAACATAACATTCTGGGAAAAGGAGGTTTTGGGACAGTTTTCAAAGGAAATTGGAAGAACACGCAGGTAGCAGTCAAGAGAATAGAACAGGTAATGGAGAAAATATTATTTTCTCATATGACCTTGAAAGTGGTAACAGCAATCGGAAAAGGCTCTTCAAATTGTTATGGTAATGTGAGTTTTAATTAATTAATTAATTTTCTTTATTCAGAGAGGAGCAGCACATCCAGAAAATAGCCAGGCACAACTGGAGCAGTCGCTGAGAGAGCTCCGAATTTTGAACTCGTGCCGTCACGACAACATACTGCCATTGTTCGGATTCAGTGTCGGGGGCGACGAGCCCTGCCTCGTGTACCAGTTCATGCCCAACGGCTCTTTAGAGGATCGTCTGTTATGCCGGGTAATTATTTTTATCAGAATTTGAAACATTTTCTAGAATTCTTTGCTACAATTCTTGGGCAGCGTGTAAGAGATATTTTAATGTAATTGGTTTGATATTGTCAGGGTATGTCGAGTTTAAATTGTGTGGCAATTGAGTAAATTATGAAATAGAAACAGTGCTTTGCTAAAATTTTTAATTTTTAATGGACTAATTGAAAACAGACCTTGTCATGGTGGTGGGGCTTTAGTACCTCAGTGACCCCAAGAGCTACTGGTAGGGCCTCCCTAGCCAGATTGGTCGAGGGGGAGAGGTCAGACTAAGACAGGTACCCTGGTCCTCCAGGTTGGGGGTTGGTCTCAAGGCTAACGACCTTGCACCGTAAAAAGAAAGATGTTCCGAAACCTCAGTCAAAGCCTCAGACAGACGGACCTAACAGAGGACCGAATGGAAGAGGAGAATTGAGGAGGCCATGGACCGAATACGGACCGGAGAACCATAGAAGAAGAAGATTGAAAACTGTATGGATATTATTTTTTCTTGCAGAAAGGAACACCACCGTTAACATGGCTTCAGAGGCATAATATCGCACAAGGAACGGCAAGGGGCCTTCAGTTTTTACACAACAATTCAAAGCCTTTTATACATGGAGACATAAAAAGGTAGGAAGTAAAGGGCATCATTATTCTACAAGATTTGTGTGAGACATTTTAATATTTCATATCCAGTACACACCATTCAGCATGGTGTGCATTGGTGGTTAGCAGGATTCATGACCCATCAGTACATGGGTTTGATCGGGACCGCAACATTTAACGCTCCTGCTGTCACCCCCTTTTTGCGAAATGATGATGAAAGTGGTGTAAATGTTGGGATGCCACGGAGAAACCGGAGAAACCCCGGAGGAAAACTCCGTGATGCCTAGACCACTGCCTTGCCCAACACAAGTTGTAAATCTGAGCACCGCTGGGAATCGAACCCAGGACCCCAGTATTAATGCTAGACCACCGTGGCGGTTATAATATTTCAGTAATGTTTTGTGAATGTATTGGGATTCTGCAGTTGGTTTAATTTCTCTGAATGATAAATAGCGCCGAAGAAAGGACCACTTCGACTATTTAAAAACTGAATAATGCTTGATCAAACAATAATTTAAACTACTACAACCGCTGGTGTAGCTTATGTGCCAGACTTGTATTCATATTGGAGGGGATAAATGTCACTACTGATCTGGCATGCCACGTCCGACCGTATGTCGCCCACCGTGTGTAATCTGACGCTGCTCTGGTGTCGGTCTCTGAATGGTTTGTTAATACGCTTCGGTATGCTTTCTTCTTCCTTTCCACTCCTTTCCTTGGACAGTAATATGTAAAATAACATCTGGACTTTAAAATGGTAATTCACATTAATTTATTTATTTTTTTTAATTATATATTTCATACTGCAGTGCCAATATTTTACTGGATGTAAACTTCATCCCACGTATTGGTGATTTTGGACTTGCGAGAGAAGGGCCTCAAAATAATTACACACACATGAAAGTGAGCAGGGTTCACGGAACTCGGCCTTATCTTCCGGATGAATTTCTGCGTGGTAAACAAATGTCAACGAAAGTTGATACCTACAGTTTTGGTATTGTAAGTATTGACTAAACTATAAATATAAAATAAGTAAACAAACAACTATTAACGCTATAAAAATGACGCTATTGCCATACACGTTTCAACCTTAATAGGTCATCATAGTGGCATTGGAGAAATTAATTAATTTAATCAAATGGTTTAAACTTGATTTAGAAAATAAATAATGAATAGGGTGTTTAACAAAAGTATTTCAAGCGACACTGCGCTAGATGTTGTTATTCATAGGAATAGACTCTGTACTTAGCTATTGATCCGATGGTCCGATGGCCGTAGCTGGTCTGTGGCGAGCCGTGGTTGCGTTGTCCGTACCTGTGACCTCCAGATTATTGACTAAGCTGTTTTTTATTAAATAATTTTCTTGAGGAAATGTAACTTTCATATCTGAGCAATTTTAAATATTGTCTATAGTATGTCTTTAGTCTTTTTGTTTTTTAAATTTTATTTTTTATTTCACCAAGATAACTGCTGTAAAGATTAGTTTTTTATTATTAAATTTTTACAGGTGCTGTTTGAATTGGCAACTGGATTAAGGGCATATGATGATTCCAGAACCTGCAAACTTCTGGTAAAAAAATAATTTAAACTCAATTATTACAAAATGCAATTATGTTGGTGCGTTGATTACGATTATGAGATTTCAGGTTTTAAAAACAGTGAAGATGTCAAGTGTTGTCTTCTGAATTATTACACTGTGAAAATGGTTTAAAGATATTCATATTAAAACGTTTTGATTGATAATCAGTATTTTCATATTAATTTATTATATAAAAAACATAAATACGGTAAAGAGGCTTACGGAAATAAATTTAAAGTTAATAAAAATGTTGCTCTATAAAGAAACATGACCCATTCTGTTTGTTAATTTCTTTGGAATGGAATATTTAAGAGAATCAACAAATGCCATGGGCAATTGGGTACCACTCCTGCTTTTTATTCAGAGGTGCTAGGTTCAAATTTTGGTCCAAAAACTTTTTATGATTTCTCTCAGTCCCTCCATGCAGATGCAGGTCACAGCTGCTTTCTTCGGTATACTTTTCAGTTTATTATTAATTAATCATTGTGCCATTGAACATATTTCTTGAAAATTTATGCAATATGTTATGAAGGTTACGTATTTCTTTGTCTAGAAAGAGCACGTGGAGAGCTGCACAAAAGAACAATTGGAAACTCTCATTGACAAGAAGGCAGTACCAGAAAATCCAGCAATTTTCCAACATCTGGTGTCCCTAGGCATAGAGTGCGTAAAGAAGATACCCAAACATCGGCCAAAAATGGAGAAAGTTCTTGAAGAGCTGGAAGCAGTTACTTCAAGGCACCAAATTTGTGACGCGGTTCATTGTAAGTGAATCTTAAAAAATGTCGTCATCCTTCGTGGTGCTAGGCCAACTTTGCATCTTTTATGTTACATAATGAAACCTTTTTCTTTTTTTGTTAAAGAGGTTCTAGGTTCATATCTTGGCTAGAAACCAATTACCATGATTTTCTTTTTCTCCCTTCCCAGTACAGACTTTGACCTTTTCCTTTCATTGTCTTTGCAGTCCATAATTCATAAGTTTTCCTACCACTTGATGCTATATAACCAGAGAAATTTAAAAAAATTGTTTACCACTTTCCTTACTTATCATTTTTTCTCACAAATTGGAAGCCAAAAAAGAAAGAATATAATTTCCATTCAGTTTTGTGATTTTTCAAAGCAACTAGAGAATTGTTGGTGAGTAATTCATTCAAAACATTCTGTATCACAGAAAGTCTTCTGCATATAAACATCATCATCTAAGGCGATCGCCCCTCTGAAATATTTATAAATATCTACCAGGCTACACAGTGTAACATCCAAAAATACAGCTGTTTTGAGTTATAAAATATTGATGAAAAAGTTAAAAATTATGTAATTTAAAATTATTACACATATTAATTCCAGTTTCCCCTCTTCATATTTTTATTGTAGTGCCAGGGGTAGGATGTCCAATGAAAATTCTGTATTACCTCAGTAACAACTCTACCTGCTTCCAGTTCACACCATTTTACCCAAAAAGCTCTTATTGCTGAGTTCTGACAGTATAACCTTCTCTGTCATGAAGAAAATGTTATTTAAATTCACATTTTGATTTGTGTAATGTGTTAACTGTCGTAAGGAACAAATACAGTTGAATAAATGTTAAAACCAGTTTACCAACCAACTTATTCCCTTCTCCAATTGTCGCAGATCCTGGGAGCTCGGGCGGACAGTGTGTAAGAACAAGTCTGATGCTGACGATACCGTCGAACCATCCCGTTGGCAGCGTCCAGCAGGCGGGACTTAACAATGTATATTTATGTCATCCTCCAAACACTTCCAATAGTCATAACTTCCTGCCAGTTGCTGCTTTTCCGTCACCCTCCTATTCTCCGTCAGTCAGTCCGCAACCTATCTCGGCAGCCGGCGCGCATTCCCCACGTGCTCTTGGTTTAGCGTCTCATCCATTTCCAGTCACACCACAATATGTGCCATCTCCTGAGATTGAAGTGTCGCCACCATCGCAAGAAACTTATTGCTCGGGTGATAATTATCTGCCAGTTACAGTGGCAAAACAGAACTCTGCATCACAGAGACCTTACAGACATGCTGTTCTGGTAAGTTAATTGACTTCTTTCCTTTAAATGAAAATCAGTTATATTTTATTTTGTGGATTTTTAAGTCGGTAGCATTGAAATTGCGTTCATGTATGCATACATGTACATGATTAATTATTTAGGACCAGGAGATAGCACCAGCTCATCTAGATGATCCAGACAGCTCAGAATTTTCGCAGAATGGAGCTGCTATCAGTGTTCTGCTGCCTAATTTGTCAATACTGGGTGTTGATGACAGTCACCATTCCCGTGAAGCTGATACACTACCATCTGCTTCCTGCCATGAGCTCAGTGCCAATCCTGAAACAAGTGCCTATTCTTCTTCAAGTCTGAGCCATTCGACTGCACAAGGCAAATCACTAATCTTTGATCTCAGACCTCTGGTAAGAATTCATATTAACTACTTGCTATAGTAATTCAATTCCTGAATTTGGAAGCTGAAAAAAAAAAATTAGTTCAGTTTTGTAATTTTTGAACATTAATTCTTGTTTGTTCAATATGCTTTTCAGCACAATAAATAAATCTTTATATAGTTCCATTTTTATCCCGAGTTATCTTGGGTTTTGTATTGTGTGGTAGAACAGTTTTCATGTTCCATAATCACAAAATAATAAGCCAAATTGGGTATAAGAGTTTTGACCGGGTTCACTTATTTGAGGTTAGAGACCAGTGGTAGTCTCGTGTGAAGATGCTAATTAATCTTTGGGTGCCATTAAATTTGGGGGAATTGACTAGCTGAAAGACTATCAGCTTCTTACGGCTCTACTCCCTGGAGTTGGTCATGCAGGTAATGTCATAATATGCTGATCCTCCGGCTGTGGTGTCCTAATGAGGATCTTGGATGCTGTAGATTGAGGCAGACCAAAGCTTAACTGGGCTGTATCTTCAAGAAACTAAGATTTCAGGTATACAAAACCATCAGGAATATGTTTGGTAACTGCAGATTGTATAGGTCTTAGGTAACTTACTCGATTATAATGTTTGTTTGTTTTTTTATTTCAGGAACCAAAATAATAACTTCTCTACATGTCTGCCAATAGTAATTAAAGTGTTTGTGACTTGTGAATACAGTCTCCAAGGCCAGCAGAGCAGAACATTTATAAATGTCATTTATTGCATCGCCTATTGGATGTTTTCAATTGTGGCATGAGCTTAACATTTGTCAGAAATGCAACAAAACAACAAAATTATTAAATACTTTTAAATTCCTATCACATAATAAACATGATAGTTTATTTTTTAGAGATATTACGTGATATAGAGTTTTATATTGATATTGCAGCTGTTTTTCAAATTGTTTTATCAGTTTGGAGCTTATCTAACTGAATTCAGTTTAAAAACTCCATTAGAATTCAAACTGCATTTCACTGTACGTTAGTATAGATACATTCCTGTAGTATCTGTTACTGCTTGCAAATATTTTCCTTTATTGCACAGATCGTATCATAGTTTTGTTTATAAATATGTATACTTCTTGCTTTTACAAGTCACACCTAACCTCAACAGTACTATGTAATTTAAGGTTATGGTTGATGTAACACAGTAACATAAGTTACTGAGAAACAGTGACTGGATTCAATAAGTTTTTTTCCCATCCAGAGGCTTAGGTCATCATTTGTATATATTGAGATACTCAAATTGACAGTTTTAAAGCATAGGAATTGAATGTGATACAAATTGAAATCCCAGACGTATAAAAAGCGCATGAACTGAAAATCATTAATGACTATTTTCTTTATAAATACATGTTGACTATGTTTACTGTTGAATATTTTCATAGGATTTATTATAATTGTAAGTTCAGAAATGTTTCTTGTGGATAATATTTTGAAGAATCTTAATAAATAAGGTTGGTAATGCCAAATTAACCCCTCCAATTCTGTGCTTCAACAGCTTTCCTAAGTTTCTTAGGTTGAGATCCAAAGCAACCCCGGAATCAAATACACCTCTTAATATGGTGTTCACCTACTGTAATAAGTTTGAACTTTGGAATCTTGAGTGATATCCTTTTATTGTGTCTTGTTTGTTTACATAACGAAGTACATTAAGTTTTTCTTTAATCAGGTTTCTTTAATTCTAGTGATGGGATGCAATGTTGAAACATTCTGCTTCAGCTGTAGGTCAGAAAAGTTGCTAAGAAGTGAAAGATATCCTTATTTTTATGGATCAATTTTTTTATACCATTTGGTATAGCAAACCACAGCATGTTTTTTTGGAACAAATGACATGAATTCTGAAATTTATAGCATTTGTGAGCATAATTTTTAATAAATCATTCAGTTTCTACTTGATTTTAAGGTTTATAAAATTTTTATTATCAATTCATCCTTTTAGCACAAAAACTTAAGGTTTCTCGTACTAAATAAACACTTCTGTGCATAGTCAGAAAAGGTTAACCTTTAGCTTATAAGAGACCCAAATGTTGAGCTCTTGCAAGATATTTAAATTACATTAAATGAGAGGCAGTCAGGGAAAAATTCAGACTAAAGACAAAAAGGTTTAAAATAATTAAATGCAGAATTGATTAATAGTTGTGACTACACTATAATTTCAGGAGCAAACAACAGTACATATTTTAATAGGAATTCCTAGTCTGCCAAACACAGTAAAGGATTGTAACATATTGGAGAACCTTCTTTTCAAAACTAATTTAATATTAAATTACTATTTTGTGCACATTTCACGTATGTCAACTTCAGTGCTTTTACTTGGTTACATTGTGTGGCTTCTTTAGGAGTTCGGTTTCTTTGATTCTTCTTGAAATAAATATTCTGCATAACCCTTTGCTTCTTCATATTTTCTTTTTTTTAAAACAGGTTTTATAACTTTGTGATATGTAAATAATATACCACAGGTAGCAACAAGTCCTGCAGCCATTAGTGTTACGGGATGACTGTTTACAAGGCTGAACAGTCCAGATCTTTTCATTTTGTGTATTTAAAGTTGCAATTTCCACAGACTTTATTTCACTCTTCTTCCACGGAGGTCTGGAATGAAAAATTATCTGAATCTCCAGAACTGCTAAGAAAGATTATTTCCACAGATATACATACAAATGTTAGCTCTTATTATTACCTTACACACTGGTACAGATTTAAAACTTCATATTTTACTTTGCTTCTGGTTTTTCAACAATTCTTTTACTCATTTGCTCTTTCCAGAATGGTTTCCAAATATAAACACCTCCGATCGTACCAAGAATCGTAGCAAATATTACATTCCCACTGGTCAAGGTTCTAGGACGGCGAATTCTCATTTCAGTTCGGCGTAATGTTATTCAGTATTTACATTCTCGTACCTTTAAAAACAGAACAGAAGTGAGGTTATGGTTTCATTTAATTTGTTTCTACCATCCTTGCAACTGCCCATGAGGTTTCATACATTGGTAATTAGGTTCACAGGATAACCAACATTATGGAAGTACGCGCGCTTTTGATTTGAGATGCTAGAGTACCAACATCTACAAGTGCTCAATTTATTCCGCATATTTTAATGAAAACTTAACGGTTCCAACACCAGAGAAAGACATCATGCTTCATTAATTAACTCCAGAATCACAAATCCCTTGCCCTTAATTTCACTCCAAAAGGCTGGCGTAAAACAATATAAATTTTTGTGCTTACATTTTAATATGAATATTTAACACAATTGGATAATGTACATTTCTGTTTGTATGTCGAGGTTTCGGTGGAACATTCTCCATCTTCAGGCTGAAAAATCATATTTATTGCTAAATTATTTTTCCCCCAAATTGAAACAAATTTTAGAATTCACATAACAAAACAGTGTAATTTATTAAGCCGGATAGTGTAGAACACCTACCCTCGTTACTGCAAACTTCAGTGAGCTGCTTCAAGGGCAAGAGTGACGATGTTTGGTCAAATTACCGAAACCAGTATTTAGCATCACAGTGGAACATTTGACCGCTTACTCAACCCATTCTATCAGCTTAAATTAAATACGTGAAAACTGGAACAAGTTTATAATTAGAGAAATAATACTGTTAATTGTTGTTAATTTTCATGTTTAAATTTGCCGCTCTACGTTGCACAACTACATCACGTCAGCTGTGAATTCAAGAATGACGTTTCTAGACGGCCGTAGAAACTTCGCAGTGGTTCTTGAGCAAGGTCGAAGCAGATATATAAGTGGGTGACGGCAGGTGCTACCGGTAATGCAAAGTTTTGTGTTTTTCATGTGATTTGACGTTTCTTCGTCGTCGGAAGTGCAAGAAACAAGCTGTTTTTCGTTAATACTGTTACCAGCAAAACAGACTCCCTGTTAAAATACTTCAAATCCACATTGAATGGTAAGTTATAAGTAAACACGCATGTTTTTTAAGAAGTTTGTTTTCGATAGTACTATTTTTATAAAAATTACTAATGTACGTAGGCTACGCTTGTTGAACGTAGTACTTGAAATTTGTGCTTATGAAATAATTTACGTCAGAGATTTCTTGTCAGTGTATAACGGAAAGGAAAAACAATCGAAATGTGCTGTATCGGAAAGGGGAGGGTTTAAAAAAGAGGCAATTTTAAATTCAAACTGTATTTTTAAGAAATATGAAAAGTGAATCCATATTTAATTTTGTTTATGAAACGTCACACACTATGTGGTTTAAAGAAGTAAAACTGGAGTTGCAGTGTAGAGTATAACATTGGTCATTTCTTGTAGAATTACAAGGATATTATTAAGAGTGAATATAGTGATAATTTACAAATTACCATGCTAGAAAGTTACTGTATAGAGGGCATGTGTTACTGCTGTCTGGTTGTAGTGTGTAATATGATTTGGGTTCAGTACCACAGATCTTTGAGGTTAGGTGTGTGTATTAGGTTACAACTTTAACTCATTTTTAATATTTATGTTTATACAGATGTCAGTAATCCCACTTATGATGGATGATATGCGACAGTTTCGTCATTCTCTGTTTGATCAGAATTTTGGACATGGAATATTGCATGGTCTCGCTCATGCAACACCACGACGTTCTGCTGTTGGACCATTGAATTTTGGATATTACCATCCTTTGCCCTATCAGAGAAATACTGTGTGTAAAATTGAGGATGATAAAGATTGTTTCAAGGTAAGATTTTAAATGATATGTTGGTGTGTACTGTGTTGTGTTCAGGATAAAAATCACTGAAGTCTTGTAGTTTACATACTGTCATTGATAAATGATTGGTGTGTTGTAGTGACTATGTAATAATTGGTTGTTTATTTCCCAGATGAATAACAAGTTACTTCAGATGCTCTTTGCTTGGGATTCAAGAAATAACCTTTATCATCTGAGAAAAGGGGATTTAATTTTGGGGTTGTTGGCATTTGGCATGTGGCCTTGTGTGTTTATACTAAGTTATGTCAGCCAGATCAAATGAGTGCACTTAATTTCAGTGGAATTATAACAAAAAAAGTATTTTAAGGTACATTATTATATGAATACTAATATTAAGGCTTGTTTCTGAAAATTATTATTATTCGTTATAGGTGAATTTGGATGTACAACAATTTTCTCCTGAGGAAATAACAGTGAAGATGGTGGATGACTTCATTGTAATTGAAGCAAAACATGAAGAGCGACAGGATGAACATGGCTTCATATCACGCCAGTTCCAGCGACGTTACAAATTGCCATCTGCAGTCAGGCTTGACACTCTAAAGTCAAACTTGTCTTCTGATGGCATTCTTACCGTCACAGCGTCTCTGAAGCCCATGCCTCTCCTGGCAGCCAGGGAACGTATAATCCCGATCGTACTAACAAATGCGCCGGCTGTGAGGGAACATGTTCATAAGGATGAGAAGAAGGAGTGAATGTCAGAATTTTTGAGTCGAATAAAGACCAGATTATTTTACTTTTTTCATTTCATGTATTTATCTTTATTAATGTTTTGTGTATTATTCATATAATTGATCTATTTTGTAAAGTTGATGTTATGCACATTGTATTTGAGGGTTTGATTTCTTCAGAACCCTGGTTTTGGAAACTTCTTGTATAATTTATGTTAACTTCTTGTCATCAGAAATGTCTTGACGTGTCATGGGGTTTGATGTTTCCTCTTATACAGAGTTGAGTCGGTAATTTTCCCTCGTGATGCAGCGAGAACAGAATAGTCGCTGTGCAGGATATGAGTTTTTCATTATAGTTACAAATATTTCCTTTCGGGCGCTTACGCTGTGGAAGTGGGTCGTTTCGCCGAAGTCAGCCCTGATGGAGGATGTTGTCTGAGATGTCGGTGACATGGCCCATGGCTTCAGAAATAAATATCAATGACTCGCCATCAAAGCTGCTAACGAACATACATTTATGTTCACTCCGATAAATGCATAAAGTGATTGGAGCATTGATGGTCATTGTTTGTTAATTGGGAGACATTAATCAGCATTTATTGCGTTAATTTGTAGAGACTATTTTGAAACTTGTGATTATCACGTACAAGCTGTTCCAGAATAATGATATTTGTTGTACATGATACCAATAAAGTAAGATTAAATTTCCCATCATTTCCCTCCAATACAGTGAAGTGTCATTGTGGTTAACAAACATTTATGTAATAATTTGAAGTTGTATTTTAATGTATTTACTTATAATATATTTCTACATTGTGATTGAATAATCAACGGATGTGTGGTTCTGATCTGTTTGAGGAATTTGCGATGTTTTTGTAAATGCGGATAAGTTTTGGTGACTATGAGAAGGTCTGTTGTTCTGAATTTGATACAGCTTTTATTTTATAAATTAAGATCCATGAATGTTTAATTTCAGTTGTGTAAGAACTGATATTTTAATGGTGCTATACATTCAAGAAACTGTAAGACTGAACATGGTTAATATTATGGCGCATCAAATAAGACTGAAAAAAGACGAAGATTGGACATTGGGCTGATTGAAAATAAAACATTTGAAAGCAGCCTTTATATTTAACACACCTTATGATTCCTTACATGTCTGTTTCACCTGCCGATTGTTCCGATCCCTTCAATTGCTTAAATTTGTCTTAGTTCCCTCTAACCGTCTTGTTCAGGATCATTCTGTTCCATATCTGTTATTTGGATTTGATCACTTTTCTGTGTTCATCTTCTTTTTCGTCACTTTAACCCTCGGAATCATGAAGTCTATCCAGTTTTTAAACATTCAGTCCGTACCTCAAAGTAAACTCTGTCACCATTACTAAGATCAGTTGGTTAATGCTGTTTAGGGAAGTGGATTGCTGTTTATTTTGACAATCAACCAATGATTGATTCTTGGTTTATTTGCTAGCACTTTTCGGACTTTGTTTGTTTTGTATCATCAAACTTTAAGATTATTCTGAATTAAGAATTGCAAAGGTTGTAGAAGGAAGCAGTAGTTGTGTGTTTTAAGGTACTATACCAGCATTTATGTGGTGGGACTGAGGAAAACCATAAGGTATTAAGGTGTTCTTCGTGTACATCTTCATGATGAAAGTGAATTGTTGCGAAACAATGGGATTTAGAGCAAAAATGAACTTAGGTCATTGTTTTAATTTTTTGCCTAACAACTGTTTGGGATCACAGTTCAAGAACGGACTAGGATGCAACAAAGAACCTGGTTCACATTAGTGGAAGAACAACCCATGTGATGTGGCATGAAGAACTGGAATATGGGTGTCCTCCAAGAACACCTTTCCAATTTTTTTTTCGGGCCAAACTGTTCCATCTACATTCCAACATTCGGAAAAT